TTGGACTAAACCAGTGGTGGGCAAAGTTAGCCTGTGATAATGCACAGCACATACACACCCGTAACTGCATATAGCGATACATACATACATTATTGCCTCGGTTTCGCTAGCAAGGATTGGAATTCTGGAATGGTACGGAACTTCTGACGCCCCAGAAGCATGGGACAGAAAATTACATTGTATGTTAGGTCTATCCTTATATCTCGTCTGTGGTCACACGTCGTCAGTTCCCGAATTACACGAACAACTCCATCACTGTATGCGTATCGCTCTTGCGAGCGCGTAACTCCGGCCCCGTCCACGTATGGGTAAAGGAGCGTGCATTAAACGAATATCTACTGCAACAAGTACAGTAGAAGCTCGATAATTGATAGTCCGTTAATCGATCGCTAGGAACACCCATCGTTCACACGTATTTCTCAAACACGTACGCACACCTCACTCTGTCGCCCAACAACGAAAGAATACAATATATACGGTGTAGCATTTAACTCGCATATTTTTCATCACAGTAAGTGTAGTGTATATATTGTTTGAATTAAATGTATCAACGCTCAATAACTTCTGTGAATAAACTTTTTTAATATCTATAAAAATAACAGTAGGAAAGTGATCAAAAAATGCATATATCCAGCCCACCCTATACATAGCTACGTTAAACTACTGAAAGGACGATCGGCGGGGAGAGTGCGTGTGTGGTTGGAGCCGTTAATTATTGATAAGTTCCTGGAAATTTGGCCCTCTACAGTTTACAGCTTCGAAATGATCAATTATCAAGCTTCTACTGTATCGTTTTCGTTATGAATCATCAATTACTAACAGCCAGTATAAATGTTTCTACTCGAATGGTATTTGCACAGATAAGTTAGCATACATTTATCTGCTACTTTAACATCACTCGATCAAAACGTGTTCTGTACTTTCTGCGATCGACAATTGTAGTACTATATTGTAAGTCTTACCTCCTTGGAAAACAAAGATTAATACTAAAACTCGTAGCGTATTTAGCTTTATCTGCATTATTCTCTATCTTTGCATTTATTCTGCAATTTGTGTTCGATTTTTGAAGGACCAGTAGGACGAAAGAAATATTTCGTGTTGACGTTGATAGATCACGATTTTAAATGTTACAATGACAGTGTCATCTATAGGTAATAGATTTCGATAATCTGAAAATGAAATATGATATAATTTACAATTATCAGAATTAATAACGTAATGATTAGAATAAATTTAAAGAAAAGGTTATATGTTACCTCAAGGAACGAATGATTGACAGAGGGATGTATTCATTTGCTCTTTAGTTCTGAATATCAATAATTTAATAGTGAAACTCGTATATATATATATATCAGAGTTGCGGAGTTTCGAATTTAATTTACTAATTCTTTGTTATCCTTTTCACAATTACTCCACCAACACGAACATAGCAAAGAATATCGATACATCGCTATTTTGACCACGAGATAGGAAATTTTGTCCTAAAATTTCCATCAGTTAGCACCCAAAAGTTACTGAAGAATTTTGACAATTTAACTAGTATTGTCTTGTTTGAAGAAGCACTCAAACAATTAATGTCATGAGTAATAGAAAAAATGTTTCTTGTTCTGCTTATAAAACCTCATAGAATGAAAATATTTTTTTCTATAACATTGGGGTCACTATATGGCAATGTTATACTGATGTACATCATAAAATCAATGACATCTAATCCATATCGTTGGTTATACCACATATTTACCGTGTAGAATATAATCGTCGAAGATGTGTCAGGGACATATGGTGATGTTAAACATGTTAAATGACACCTGCAATAAGCAATTGATAGTGAAAATGAAATGTTAAATGTAATTTTCACTCAAAGGAAAATTTTATCTTCACATATAAAACAATAGTAGTATAAATTATTTAACACGATAAAAGAAGTGAATCTTTCACGTATAAATCAATTTTATATAATTCATAAAATACATTTTTCAGTAATAGTATTCATGATTTACAAATCATTTAAATTTCATATGTTATTTTTTTCTATAATTATCCTTAAAATGTACACCTATCCTTACGTATTTTTTAATAATCTCTAGAAATATGTATAAAAAATTCTAACTTTCAAAATCCTATTGATTTATCATAGCTTGTTACTAGATAAACAATTATTATCGACTACATATTCATATTCAGAGAAATATGTTCTTCATATTTCTTGTTCTTCATTCTCGTCTTCATATCCGTTACATATCCCCATAGTTTTTTCCCTTACTTCTTCATCATTCATACGATTAATATTATCACTTTTCACCATTTTTTGAGTTCATTCACTGGTTCACATCATGAATAATTCTTCCTCTGACCATCTTCTTCAATTTTTTGTATTATCATATTCTACATTCCTTATACAATAATATTCTTAAAATCCACGTATACACCATGGAATAACAGCAAATTTCATATCAAAATTCGTATGCAATATTAGTATTTCGTCACTACTGTTATCAACGTCAAATTTTTAAATAAATACTATTCACACAATGGAATAAAATAGGTTCATCGGACAATGTGTTGAGCAGTTTCCAAGTAATCATCGATATTATTCTCGTAAGCTGAATTGAAGAAAAGAAGAAAAAAAGAATCTCTTTTATATTTACAGCATAGAGAGTTTGACGACTTCATTTTGAGGATAAAAGAAACGCGTGATCCTTGTCATGGAAGGATACCCTCCGCGTTCCTTTCCGTGTACCGTTCGCGTGCAACTTATTACTCGAGCTTCCATGACATTTCATGACGTTCAGTGTGTCACAGGAAAAGGGATATTATCCACTTAGAGTGTTCCAAACTACCACTTTACGCTCCATTTGAACATAAAGCTCTTCGTACCGCCCACGGCCTTCCCTATTTAACGTGTAGCCCAGCCTTATCCGACAAAACAATCGTACTTTTTATTGTCGTCGAATAAAGGTCCCCACTTGCTTACATTGCATTATCCACGAGAAGTTAAGATCTTTGTTATTCTTCCGCCCCGCAATAGAACGAGAGGCGATCGACGCAAACAATTTCGGAAGACAAGTTTACAGACGGGTGATTCTGGAAACTGGGGCAGACTTATACTTCCATTACAAACGAAGTCGAAGGAAATTCGATATAAAGGAAGTTGAATGCCATTTACGGATAAATGTCTGACATCATTCTTTTCATAATACAAATATTGCAGATTTCTCGTAAATCCTAATTATTCTGTGTATTTTTGTTACAGTAAATTTTCCACATTTTAGTTCTCAAAATCGAGTCTTGTTTTATTGTCGTCTAGCATAGATGAATTTAACTACATAATTTATCTTTCAAATAAATAACTCTTTAGAACGAGATGAGATGTTTTTCATATGAAACTACGTATTTTTATAAAATTTAAATCTTAGGGAGCTACTGTACTTCTACGTAGCTTATCTTGTGTTAATGTAAGGAATTAAGAATATAATTTTTCATCTATCGATTTAATAAAATTTAATTTATAATTTTTCATTTAAATATGCGATTTTCGGAATTGTGGGGAATGATCATTTTCTGAAAATATAAGGTGTTTAAAGTGTTGTTCTCCGCAGAAACGCAACTGTAATACTCTACTTTGGGGATAATTTTGCATGACATAGAAATAGAGTTATACTATGGAACATCTGTTGCGCGCAGTGAGATGCTATAGCTACTATATGTAGAGTATAGATTGAATAGAGTAGAGAAGTTTGTTGATTCTCGTCCAGGACATCCTGTATACATACAAACGTGCAGAAAGTGATCAGGAATAGGAATCATTTAAACTTAAACCTTTGCAGTATTTTATTTGGTTACTTTTCGATTCTTCAAGGTGTAAATGCTCTTTTCAAAATTAACCCTCATCCGTCCCATGTGTCAATTTCACGCATTTTTCTTCCATGGAATAATGTTATTCTGTCATGTGTAACTAAATTTGTCTGAGGCACCGTGACTTTTATTTTAAAGAATTTGCATTTCAACTATTTATCTCTTCATTACATCAATTTTTTACCACTTTATCAATTTGACACCGAAAGAGAAATTAAATTGTGAAAATGAAGGACGGATGAGGGTTAATATGTGTTTCTGTATTTTCCTGTATAATTTGAAAACTATAATGCGTATAAAACAATTGTGACAATAAAAGTTTAGTAGCTTTGTGTGCTCTATACAACTGTATAATGAAATCGTCAAAAAATTATTTATTTATTTAAGAACCAAACTTTTCACAATTTTATCGCACAGATTCATACAGCATAAAAATCCATTAAATTTTCGTTGTACCAATTGTTCTATGTCTACTATGGTTATCAAAATATACAAAAAAATAGAAAAATCGTTAACACTAGAACTACCAGCACTGAATGTATATGTATACTAAATTAAGTTGTACAATATAGTAATAGACTCAATATATAGTATAATTTAACGTAAAATAGTATAACATAAAATGTGTAGTAAATTAGAAGCCAATGTAAATTCTGCCTAAAGCACTATTATAATGTCAGTAGTCCTAAAATAAGAAATCCGCATTCCGTCATTTCGACGGGTTTAGTAGTTCTAGTGTTAAGAGGTGTTTTTATTTCGGAGAACTAAAAAGTAGCAAAGAAAGAAAAAAAAACAAAATTGCCCGACACTTAAAGGGAGATTCCCTACAACCCCGCAAAGTTTCAAACAAATTAGGATATCTGGGTTACCAAAGTTTCCCCGCCAGTCGATAAAAACCGTCCACCGCGGAAATACTATAAAAATCAATCCAGGGCAACAGCATCCCTCCCCCATGTTCGTCAAAAATATTGATTCCGCTAGAGGCTATCAGTGCCACGAGCCGCGAAGTAGCGCCCTGAAACTTTCCCTCGCGACGATGGATTAGATCGTTTGGGCCTTGGGCAATTTCGTCCGACAACTCCGTTTTTCCGTTCGGCCTAGCCTACTCTTTGGCCGTCCTCGGCGTTACTAACGGCGGCGTAGCAATCACGTATACACGACGTGGGCTCTCTCGATAAACCGCGGGCATCGGTCGCGTTAGTCGCGGACTTGCGCTGCAATCGCATCGAGCTGTGACGGCCAGCTAGAATCAGTGCTTCAGCAGCTCTCGGGGCCGATTGGTTGGCCTCGCCAACCCCTAAGAGCTATTTCTCTCTTTCTCTTTAATCACTCCCACCGAGTCCACACACGACACCCTGAGAAGCGACCCGCTCGGTCGCGTGACAATCGTACCGTTGACCCCAGCTAGGAGGACCACCCCGTCTGGATCCATATCGAAGGATAACATCCGGTTTCTACGGCAAGGATACACAGGACAGATCGCAACCATGAGGCGCTCGCACGTCCTCGGAGTTTGCCTCCTGCTCGTTCTCGATCTCTACGGTAAGCGTCCAGAGTCCAGATGTTCTGTCTAGGCCATCCCTTGGTTCAACGATCGCGGGGGCGGGTGTACGAGATACTATCGATCCTCCAGTGTCCCTCTTAAACACAGTTTCCTGGTTTCATTGCTACCCACAACCACGGTTTAAAGTCGTGACGGGTTCGTTCGTGATAATATAACCGATGATTACTGTCGCGGTGGAGCTTAAGAATCCTGCAGCGATGAACATTGTCGTGATTCGGTTACGACGATCAAATATTTTCACGTATGATCGAGGACGAACCGAGAGATTGAGTCGTATTGAGGAGCAGTAGTATTTATCTCATCGAAGTAATGGAAATTGTGTACTTCCGTTTCGTTTCGTTATCGTTGGATTAGCAAATCTAGTATACAAGGCGCAAGAACACATTCCTGATTGTTTAATTTTATGCTGTTTTATTATTTATTGTAGCAACATCCTGTAACGCTTGTAATTGTAAATTTCTGAACTGGATCGCGTTACCTCCTCAATGTAGAAGTATCGAGTGTTCGGAGATGAATTACTGTTACGATCGATTTGATAGTAATGAGTATGTATAGTATTAGAATTACTGAATAAATCTGCCGTTGAATATAGATATGGTACAGGGAATAGAATATAATAATAGAATATAAAAAAATTAATTTCTATTTGCTGTGTAAAATTATTAAATTATTTCACAAGTTGCCCAATTGGTGCACACGTCAATTAGGTCAACAACGGTGAGCTATGCGCAAAGGAGCGTTCGTATTAAAGGAAATATTCGATTCGTCCTAAATAATGTACACTCCACCGTTAATTATTATTAAACGTTCAAATACACTGAATTTACTTTCATCGTTAATATTTTCTATCCTAAAGATAACAATTGTTCCTATATCTGTCACTATAGAATTCATTACAAAATATAATCAACGATTAAAATAATTCTTTCGATTCACATTACGGTGATATAATATTGTAGTAGCGTTATGTCATCCGAAACATTCAGGTTAAAGTTCAGACTCCCCGTTTTGCATACATAAAGCTCCACATGATCGCAAAAATAAGATCAGAATGTGCTGAACATATTGTCGTTGTGTCATTCTAGGGCAGATAACTGCATCGATTTTAATATCGCTCACGGTTGCAGGAACGATGAACATGTCCTCGATTGAAATTCCCGTTTCCTACAATATTTCAACCCCGACTATACATTGAGCCAATATTCGTTGCAATACAGAAAACATATCATGAAAGAAATTTAAAACGCAGGCAAGCACTGATCCCCTTAACTGAAATCGTTTCATCGTACGTATTATCTTCGTTACGCGTTGACCCCCCTTATCAATCAGTCTCTCGATAATGTTTATAGCTTCGTGCCTCGAATTATTACAAAATCGATGCGCCCTTTTGTATACAACTAGACATAGAGTGTGTTGAACCATTTTTGTTGACGTTCTTAATGTAGCCTTTTTTTTGTCTCTACGTCGAAGGGAACACGTTATCGAGAAGTATTCCTCTTCCGGAAAGATTAGAAACCATGGAAGTTACGTTCTGCGAGTGTCAGGACGATGTTTTAAGAGCAGGTGTAATGTTCCAGGTGTAAACGCGATCCAATGTTACTTGTGTAACAGCCACAATGACAGCCGATGCGCCGACGATATACCGCCGGATGCCCTTAAAAGAGATTGCTCTGATCTCAAGGACGGCGCAAAATACACGATGTGCCGAAAGATTACGCAAGTCATTGAGTTTAGCGTTAATGGACGTAAGTAATACGCAAATTATTTCATTATTATGATATTAGCGGTGTGGTAGGTAGATCTTGCGATGCGGTAGAAACATAATATACACTCCCAATCGTAAGTACTGGGACACTTATCGAATATGCAACAAACATTACATGGCATTACCAAAATGCTGAAAATCTGAAAAAATATTGTTCAGGGAATATTGAATTTCGATCGACACCACTTATGCTACTATGAAGTAATAAAACTCAGCTAAAATAGATAATTTTTACGAAACATCACATCTTCTTCATACAGACCTGGAGTCCCAAAACTTATGAGCAGTAAAAGAAAATTTTTTAAAATAATTAAGGACCTGGTGTCTGAATATTTACAAGCAGTAAAAAAGCATTAAAAAATGTTTAAATAAAAAAAAAAAAGATAATAAAGGCATGGTGGCCCAATACTTATGAGCGGTAGTGTACGTACCGTGTTTCGTTCGTAATCATTTCCCCGGTGCTTAAAGTTAAACAGAGTAATTATTAGACTGCAGATGTCTATGCGGATATAGAACTTTATGGACTCATTTCTCGAAACAGCACGCGAAATAAAATTTATTTACCTCGTTAAAGGTTCTAGCAGGTTCGAAATAGAAAGAAAATCTGGATAAAGCTTTCTGAAACTTTTTACTGCACTGAATATAGAAAACTATGTAATGATTTATGGAAAAGCATGTATTCTATGATTGATGATCAAAAAAATAGTAATAGATTTTGTAATAAATTAAAAACTTTCATTATTCTAACATTAAATATTCATGGAACAATATGCCCCGGCAAGCTATCTATATTAACCCCGATTAATACAGCACCCTCATTATTCTATAGAAAGCAACCGTGTATTACTACGCATGCTGCAAGAGCGTGTTTAGTACAATGCATATCGCGCTATAGTTGTTCGACTTATCCAGCGCAATATAATCACTCTATTTTATTATATTAATACGTGGTTAAATGTAATTTATGGTACAATCGAAAATATCATCGTACGTTCGTGTAAATAATAAATCGGAAGTCTCTTCGCGTTTGAAATTTTTTATGTGCAGCATTTCTTTGAAAGGAACCAGAGTTTTAAAGATACAATTTACTATATTCCTTATTTATTTAAAAATTCAGTAATTTGCAATGTTTTATTATCGTATAAACATTTAAAATTACGATTCATGCGAAATTATGATCGAAGATTTTAACTCACTCGAAGAATTTGTAAAAAACTTCCTAGTTTTCTGACATCTTTTTCTTTTAATTGTGAATAACACTTCTAATATTTATATACATTATACGGTTATAGTTCCTTGGCAAGTGATATTTTTTTATAACTCGTATTAAAATATCGGTTTTTGTACAGTGAAATTGTATGATACCATTGTAGATACAGAAAGGGAAGAAAAACTGACAGGGTGACCAGGCTGACGAAGTGTTCACAGTATTAGTAAATGTTTGTATAGAGACGAAGAAATGAAAATGATCACAGAAGCAAGCAATGTCCAAATTCAGTTAAATTTAATTTTACAGAAAATTAGATCTAGCAAAGAAAAATTTCACTTTAATCTTTTCGTTCATTTATTTATAAATTATCGTCTTTTCTTTGATTGTACTATAAATTAAACTTCGCCTTGCACACACAGGTTTTTATGTACAATGTGGTAAGAATAATATTAATGCACGTCGCAAAGAAAAATTATAAAGACTGATGTGAAATTAATTTTTACTGATTTCAAGTTTGCTAACACTCTCGTTACACTGTATCTATAGATTATAATTCTATATTTTCAAACAGTTCCCTTTGGAACAAATAACACTTATACTACACGTTCATCGTATCTTTTTCAGTTTTTCTATGGGAAAAAAGTGATTATAAAAATAAACTAAGCGCTCAACGAAATAACACGAAATTACTGAAATTTTACATAAATGTAGTACCGAAATGAACTACACCCATTTTAAGGTTACTTCTTTCTAAATAAATAATTGTAGACGAACTGGCGTATGAATCTAGGCTTACGATCAGTTTGGCAGAGCGTGGCAAAGCGACGCTCAGCCAAGAAATAAACATAACAATAAAAATCTCATCGGCCTTATATCATACGTGGTTCCATAAGATTCAATGTTTTATACAATTTTCTCTTCGTATCTCCGCTCGCTGCAAAAGTGCCAACCAGTTTTCAAAAATACCAGTGGCAATTTGCCATTTATTTCTAAATTGCTAAACACTTTTTTATTCGGAAGTTTATAAATATTAGGTCAGTACAAAAGTTTTGGCTAATTTTCTGCAGATGATAAAAGCGCCCTAGTTTCATAAAAACAATAAACAATCACAGAGTAAATTACTATTTAGATAAATAATTTACATGATTGAGTGCACTTTATTGTTCTAAAATAAAATGTAAAATGAGCTTTTATACGCTCCATTTACATGTTGTAATCGTGCACGAGTGTTCTAGAAGAATAAACATTAGAAACACCGTAAAAAACACTTGCGATTTATTTAGAGAAGCTACTTCCGTGATAAACTGTGTATAAAGCCAGATTCACACTAGCGGTCAAAGGTACGGTCCGATCACGATCAATCTGAATTTAGACTATATCTCTACCATTAGATTACGTGAGACTGATAAAGACCGCTGCCTGATTTGACCGGACCGTGACCGCTAGTGTCAGTTGAATGTATTGCCATAATTTAATTATATAAATTCAATAATAAATATAATATTCATAAAATATTTATTGAAAATATATATGTTATAAAAGAATTAATACATATTTTAGTAAATAAGTATTGAAATTATTATTCTACAATTTTACAGTGAATCCAATAAAAACATTTACACTCATCCAAATCTTAATTTGACAATACTTATCTCTTAAGCACTTATGTTGTATATGTATATACGTCATGACCAAAGTCAATACAAAGCGGGAGTAACATATTCGCATTACGAACATTTTTTAAATAATTCTTAAAAAATAAAGATTCGGAATTCCTTTAATTCTTTCGAAATGACAGTGTTCAAACTATATTATTTTAACTGTATTTCTAGTAACGTGCAAAATTTTTTTCGAATAATCATTACGACATACATGTACACCACAGTGAAAAATTCATAATTACCACTGTAGACTGCACATTCAGTGCTGATCCATAATACAGTAAAGGCTTCATGAATAAAAATTCAGACTCGTTTCTGAGACGAGTCATATGTAGTTAAGGTTGAAGAGATTAATAAAAATGATCGTAAAAGAAACGACATGAACAATAACGGCACTACGCGTTTCAAACAGTTCCAGCTGATACCCGAGTGATAAGAGGCTGCGGATGGCAAGAGGAGAGCTACAAAGGCAAATGCTACCAACGAGGCGGTTTCGGTGGTCGTCAAGAAGTCTGTTCATGCCTAAGCGACTACTGTAACGTGGCGACACCAAACATTCTGCCGCCGAAGTCATTAATCCTGTCGTGTGTCCTGGGCAGCGTGTTGCTAGCATTCATTCGTAATTAGCTTTAAAGAAATTTACTACCCCTCCCCCCCGCCCCAACAGTCGACGAGAAGATACGTTCCCGATCGGTTAGTACATCTACTGTAAGCAGCTTCGTGTGTCACGCGTCGTATACTCGAGAAACGGAAAGGGACCGGGGGCTGACAGGACAATGGATTCGAGAAGAAGTATCCTTTGATCTCTCGTCGCAGATATGAGAAAAGTGCACATAGCAAAATCACTTTTCGAGTTGTCGAGATACATATACGCAACTAAATTAGAATCTATCGATACATCAGGACAAACGTAATGCTAACGATCTTGAATTGATCGAGAGAACGGAGGATCCTCGATCGAAGCCGTGTTTCATTTTTGACAATCTACATAATAGAAACGGCGCCGCGGCGTCCTCCTGTCCGTTGGTTGACAGTCATCGTAGCTTTAGAGAAACTATGCACGCTGTTCCTGGTCACCTTGTCCATATTTTCATGAGACACGATCGCCCAAGAACAAATTAGAATCATCGGCGTAGCCAGGGGGGCAGGGTAGGACACTTGCCACCCTACCCTAGAGGGAAAAAAGTAGCCTGTACCCTATCCTAGAAGAAAGAAATTGGATTTTACCACCTGCCCCTCCCCAGAGAAGAGAAATATTATGTTATATTAATTAATGTTTTGTATGTAAAAATTAGTCTAAAATCGATGTAAAGTAATATTACGAAAAACTTGAGATCAGCTTTGCCCCCCCCTCCCCTCCCGACTGATAACCTGACTACGCCCATGAAAATTACATGACGTTCATACATATACATACGATGTTTCAAACGTGTTACGGAAACAACTGAAGTTTTCATCAGGGTTGTAAAATAAAGTATAGGCAAATGAAAGTATTTAAAAAGTAATATATAAATCAATGAATAACTTACATAAAATGATTGACGACGAAAGCATATATTGTATATGTATCTATGCGAGAAATTATTTATTCTTCATAACGAATTCATTACCCATTGATGGTTCAGTTCACATTTCTCATGTAAAAGTATTTAGATTTGTCAGAGACTGGAATATTGGCTAATTATATCGAAAAATTACGATTTTTTATGAATGCATTATATAGGGTTTCAGGAACAGTACTCGTCTTTTCGTACTTTTTCGCGAAAGTCGCCTAAGCGATAATTCCTCCGGTCATGTGTAATCTCTTCTCAAAAAATTTTTCAATTTAGATGCTGAAGGTGTGGAAACAACAACCACATTGTGTTCACTCGACGATTTTTCTGCGTAGAGCTTAAGAATGATATTACATACGCAACGATTCCGCAACTTGTTGAGGATCTTGTTGTGGCCGATGTTCACAAATGAAAAAACATCTGTACAATATGTTTTTCTTTTGTGCAAAACGAGAAAAATATACCAGGGATGTCGTTGCGGAGAATTCGAGTGTTTATTATTATCCCTCGACCTATCAAATTGTAACCTGTAATTTGAAATGCGTATGTACATAATGTCTCTTATGGAATTAAGAATGGATGGAAAAGTATCTGAAATTCACATCACAATTCATATAAACAATTCAAAAACAATGGAATCACGAAATTCCTCCAACGCATTTATATTTAATTTTCATACGTTTATAAGTGTTCATTTGGAATGCAGAGTAACATAAATATTAAAAAAAAATGGAACAAATAATATTCCAGACCAATATTAATTAAGACATGAATAGTTTGTGTCTAAAGTGGTATTACATAGAAAACACACATGTACGTTTCTGTCCAAATGTTTATAATCGTTACCTTACTTTTGTAATATCTATTAAGTTATTAGAGCAGTTATTGAAGTTGTTTTTGTAGCTCATCTTAAATTTTACTTCCATTAGTGGCTGAACTTTACTTTCCCGGACCAAAAATTATTGACTTTTTTTCTATCTGCTGGTAGTATTCAACGAGTGGAATCTAAAAATGCAAGTTTTAAGTTTAGGAATCCATTCAGAAGTTATGCGTATGTAAAACATTTTTAGCGTACTTTACAGGTTGGTTTAACGTCATATTGACTTCTATACCAAATTCGTCCAATCAGTGGTGTCACTGCTTCTAAGGAGATGCACGTGATGACGGTCATTTTGGCGAGATAATTCAAATGTGCTTGCAAAAAGGAATCACTTATTCAAAGCGAAATACTGATTCTGAATTGGTTAGAGCCTGTTTATGAAAAAAAACATGTATTCAAAGCGAAATACTGATTCTATATTTCTTTTTTATTAATGAGTGATGTTATTGGTTCTAAAGAAATGCGCTATTTTTGTTATTTTTAAGAATTTGGATATCAAGTTCAGATAGCACATGACGCCTTAAAGACGCCTATTTTAAGTCCAAGGCGTCATGTGCTACCTGGGAGAAAGAGTGATCGGAGTAGATCTGGGAGGGGCGGCAGCAGACAACTTTCTACGATTATTCATTTTAAAAGGTTCTCACATGTGCCTCTATCCATCACAGAATCAGTATTTCGCTTTGAATAAATGTTTTCTTTTTTCGTACACAGGCTCTAACCAACAAAGAATCACTATTTTGCTTTGAATAAGTGGTTTTTTCCCGTAAACAAGCTTTAACCAAGTCAGAATCAGTATTTTGCTTTGAATAAATGATTCCTTTTTGCAAGCACATTTGAATTATCCCGCCAAAATGGCGGCCATCACGTGCATGATGCACGGTGCATCTCCTTACAAACAGTGACACCACTGATTAGACGAATAGGGTATAGAAGTCAATATGGCGTTAAACTAACCTGTAAAGTACGCTAAAAATGCTTGGCTTTATATAAACATAACTTTTGAACCACTGGATTCCTAAACTTAACACTTGCATTTTCAGATTCTACTTGTTGAATACTATCAGGAGGTAAAAAAAAAGTCGATAATTTTTGGTCCAGGAAAGAAAAGTTTAACCCTATTAGTTTATCATACTACATATATTTTCATTCTCAATGACACGTAAACAAAAATTTGAAAAATAATGATTATTATCAATTTCAAACAAAAAGTTCTTCAAATCATGTAATTTTAGGGTATGTCCTGGCTTTACTTAAAATATATATTATACGTTTGCTAATACTATATTTTTAGATTCAGGATACTATGTTCACCTATACAGTTTGAGAAACATCTTTTATATGAAATGATATGTACATGAGACATGATAAAACAAAACATAGAAATATTTCTTACGAAGCGAAGTAATCAAAATTCTGTTACCTATAAAACAAACATATAAGCGTAAATTTTCTTTTATTTGCAGTAACCATAATCGTAAAAATTTAGAATATAAGCTCCTAAATGAATGTAAGTTAACTGTTACTAAACAATTTTGTAAATATTGTTCGTGTCATTCCATATTCCTCGAAGTTAATACTGCAATACCACTTGTTATTTATAACTGTAAAAAGTATACATTAATATTACTATGATATGTTTTTTTTTATTTAAAAAATTGTTTTGAAGAAAATTTTCACATAACAGTTTTAAATAATACTAAATTAAATAACTCCTATGTCTACTTCTTCGAAACAGGTACAATGAAAAAATCTTAAAAATGATAACAGTTTCCACTAAAATACGTTAAATCTCCGTTTGAATTACTTCTACGAAACACAAACTTTATAAATTTTCCAATGAAATCGGTATATTAAATAATATTTATATTAAGAAAATAATCGAACCAGGTATATTAGCATCGAAGCTGCTTGAACCGTGCGTCAAATTTTTCTCTCGTTTCATTGTTCCGGGCGAATAATTTTGTTTCATGTCAATAGAGTCAGTAATCTGCCATTTTTTCTTCGCGGTGTTCATAGATTCTTCCGTTTCATAGATTACCATTATATTTCCAACATGTATATACGTTCTCTTGTTCCTCTTTCATAAGGAATCACATAATCAGTTCGCTGTAAGAGACAGGGCGCGATAAGTACGATAACATGTATTTTTAATTAATGCAACACAGCAGCAGGGCGAAGTGATTCGAAAAGTTCGTGGATCAACATCAAATTTCTTACCTCCGATTGGAAGTTAATTCGTTGACAGTTTAAATCTGTTTCCTATTACCGTTCCCTCCCGTATGTATTTATTTTTGTTATTTGAGTTTGAGATGATTTCACCTTATTCCCTGTGGATCCAGCCTCTTCTCCCAATGACGTTCCTTCGTCATATACCTTACCGATATGTTTGAACGCAACTGATTTTGAACTCAGGAACATTGAAAGGGTATTTTGGACATCAGGTAAAATTCAAACTGTTTGTCATCGCAAATTAATAAACCGATATGTAAAATACGTGCTTAGGTTACCGATCTGTCAAACAGCAACTGATATAGTGGCTACGTTCGTTCGATTTGTTCGGTATTTAAGATTTCTTAGTCGTAGATATTATTATGTACAGAACTGATATCTTTCATTATACATTCAAATAAATTAATTTCGTAACACGTTTGCTAACTCACAATTCGTATGCTGAACAGAAAAACTTTAACTAGTAACTAAAAGTCCTATTCATCTCCCTCAAAAATGGCTAGATGATAGTGTACAAATCATATGCAAGACAATGCCTTGTGTAAAAATAAGTGAAAAATGTAGAATGTTATGTCTTCTCTGAAAATTCGTTTTGACCCATTCCTCAAGGTATCTGTAACATCAAAGCTATGGTAATAACACGAAACTTGTTACTTATTGTTAGATCCATCTACTTAATGTGAAAACCCAATTTAACAGTAGAACTACCAGCCCTGAGTGTATACTAAATTAAATTGTATAATATTACTATATTACACTGAATATATAGTACAGTTTAACGTAAAATAGTATAACATAAAACGTGTAGTAAATTAGAAGCCAATGTAAATTTCACCTAAAACACTATTATAATTTCAGTAATCCTAAAGTAAGAAATCCGCAATTCGCCATTTTGACGGGATTAATAGATCTATGTTAAAAATTATATTCTATATTTTTTACTTACGTTTAGTTATGTGTTGAAAACATCTTAAATGACAAACGTGTTAAAAAGAGTCTGCTAAAAAATTGCAAATTAAAAACATAGATTATACAGTTACGCCAAAAATCATACCTATAACCAATATCTACTAAGTGATTTGAATCTTTGTACAGACCATTGAAAGTCCTGGCAAGAAGAAGTATATTTTTGAACTAGGGTTTGGTGGATCATGCACTCAACAGCTGCACGATCCAATCGAACACCTTTACAATCTTCGATTCCGCCCACGACCACACCCTCGTCCATTCTTCATCCGCAGCAACAACAAATTCTTTATGGTCCCATCATTAATCCAATGTTAACACTTCAACCATGCGGGACTGGTTTGCATCCATCGTGTATTTATCCCGGCGCTCAACGTAACGGTGTACCCAATCCTGTTTCCTTACACATACAAGGTGTAAATATGTGTCATTTTTAAATTTTATTAATTCCATAATCTGCTTCAAAGTTCTTGACATTTTCGGATGTATTTCGGGAAATGATTAAACGCACATTACTTACAACTATTGACATATACGACTCAAACACTTTTTGATTGAGTAAATACAAAATATTATTTTGTTTGTTTTTGAAAAAGGAAAATTTCATCTTAAATGTACCATGTTATAATTTGAAACAATATTTTTAGTGACATAAGATGAATATGAATCTTACAGATAATATCATTAAATTCGATTGCGAACTCCTCCTTTGAAAAGAAAGAAAATTAATTTTTTGGTAAATTAAATTAAAAACATATTACATTTGATACTGTAGCAAACTCATTGGTATATTTCAGGATTAGAATGTCTAGAAAGTTTTTCCATTAAATATTAAATTATATAATTTACCATAATCAATCTTAAATAAAGTCTCTTGAAATTGTATTTTCGATTCATACAATTAAAAAGATGAATTTGTTCCACTGTTTTCTTTTTCACTGTACGCACAGAGTCACATTTAGTAACAGAAATATATAAACTGTCTTAAAAAATTACTCTTTATCGATCAAGCGTGAAGTTAATTTTTTCCTTGACTACATTTTCAGAGGGTAAAACATATGAGAATTACCTAAACTTCGAAAATAATCTACTTTTAATTTCTGTATGTAATTTAAAAATCGTCAGTGAGTATAATTTATTTCTTTTTATTCTTTATTGAAGTCGATATAAATACGAGGCGTGTTCTTAAAGTAAGGTCCGTTCGAAAATCAGAAAAAAAATCTTCAAAAAACATAAATGATTTACTTTAGCGAAAAAATATCTAAATATTTGTGGTATTTTTCCATATAGTCCCCATGGACGTCGACACATTATTTATTCCACTGTCAAAGAAGTCCGCCGCCAGAGTTTATACTATGCTTTGACGTCGTTTTTCAGTTCATTATCATTTTCAAATATTTGCGATAGCAGCGATTTTTTAAATGCAAAAATAAGTGGCAGTTGCTTGGTGCAAGATCGGGACTATAGGATGGATGGTTAAAAATTTCCCAGCGAAATTCTTCCAACATTCGACGTCGTCGTGCAAAAGCATAAACCTACTGGACAGTAACTTACGTCTTTAGCTTTGAATAGCACGTCTAAGTTATATCATCCACTATTTATTGCAGCACTCATAGTAAGTTATTGAAATGCGGTAATAAACGCGACACTGACTAAGACTAAATAGCAGCCAGCTAGTTAACGAATTAGGAAAAGATACTATGTAATTGCGATCCCGCTTCGTTACTTCAATTGGCGGTAATTTTAAAACGGACCTTACTTAAAAAAAACACGCAATGTAAATATAATATATATATATATATATATATATATATATATATATATCAGAATAAGATACAAAATAAAAATAAAAATTATCTCTGCTCTTCGAACTATTACATAATATATTTATCTTAAATAATGCTTCCAGTTTTTTTAAAATTGTCGTACAAACCATTCCATGAATATAGGGAAAAGCAGCAGATGGCTACCCAAGAGTAAACTTGTACGAAACCAACAATATTGTCAGCAACAGCAACAACAACAACAACAACAACAACAGCACATTCAACAGCAGTTGTCCTACAACCCGAAACCGTTGGTTTTGTTCGATCAAACGGCGAACAATGCTCCACCGCCAGCGCCGACAGCTTCGTTCCTAGTTGCTTCCTCGACGTACACGCACGGCTCATTTTCCGGTGATCAGTACAATAATTCTGGAGTAACCCTGATACCACAACCCTATTATAAGCCACCAGACGTGCAAGTTGCCTATTGCCTGGTTCAAGATCAACAAACTGCTCAGCAACAGCAACAAGAACAGCCGTCTCATGGTTCCTACTACAATATCTCTGCCACCAATACCTGCAATCTGCAAACCGTGAACACCCACTCGACATTTCAGTTCTCCAATCTTAGCCCATACGCGCCGACGAATTTCAATAACCAAATCCTAGGACCCGTTCAAACGGTGCAACCCGCTAAAATTTTCCCCAGCCCACCAGTGAACTTGGTCTTGGCCGGTCCGCAGAGGGACAAACCCGTGTCAACGTCCACCACACTCGACGTTTCAGCCTTTAAATGCACCAATAGCAAGATCACCGGCAACGCCACTCAAATCGCACCGATTGTCTCCGAGGGCTACAACGAATGGCCGTTCCAAACGATCGCCACGTCAGCCAACAGTTTGTTCGACGGGAAACCCACTACCGATGACGCGCGCCAAGAAGCCACAACGAATTCTCTGGACAAAGTCACCTCGAACGTGTCCACGAAAACGCAGGACGAACATTATTCTGACGAATCCTCGGCCAGCTTCGACTTCACCATCGAGGCCGAGAAAATGGTCTCGGCGCTCTGCAACACGTCTTCGAATGACCTCGGCAAGGAGGAGAGGAAAGGCAACAAATCGAATTCGGCGCCTCTGTTCAGCGGTGCTGGCGACACAATCTCGAACAAGAACACCTGGTTCCCTGACTTCTGCGCCAGTTACGGGTCTGGCACATCTGTAGCGATTCAAACTGATAGTCCGTGTGCTGATGATACACACTATCCAGAACTGCTAAGGAAAGTTATCTATTGGGGATGCTCCGAAGCTGAGACTATTTTAACCAACAGTTGCAAAACGAATCCTCGGTCCGGTTGGTTAAAGAACCTTTCCACTGCTACGAAGATAGCGATCACTAAATCGTCAACCTGCTTTCCTGTCTTCGCCGGGAATCATGTTTTCACCAGTGATTTGATTAACGCTCTGTTGCGCATTAGCAACGGTTGGCTCATACTCGATAATTACTTGAACAAGCAACATTACTCGAGCCTGGACGAAAAATACGACAAAGAGCTGGTCAGATTTGCTGAACCAGATCGTACAGACTTTCCTGAAACTAGGAGAGACCAACGATACCTCGAATGCCGAACAGAAACTAGAATTATTCGGGACCTTTTTTCCAGGTGACGTTTCAGTTTACACGAATTGCGACTTGTTCGATCCGTCCACGAACGCGTCGCGTCTAGAAACTGGTAATAAGAAAAACGATCAAGAGTCATCGTTGAATGTGGCCACCCAGCTATCGGTCGGAAGCCTGCGGAATATTGGTCTCTACAATCAGGAGAAACAAGCTCCGAAGGAATCGAAATTACGAAGTAAGTGGACCGTTACTGAGAATCTAACGACAGTAGACAGCACGAAATTCGTGCCTGATATGTTCCTAGGACACGCGGACACCGGTGTTCCAGCTAGCAGTAGATTTCGTTCGAGGGGCAGCTCGTCCTCGGCGAAGATCGACTCCTCGTCTCAATCCCTGAACGCGGAGTTTTTTCACTTGAGGAGCAAAGTACTCACGGAGAACAACCAGGACTACTCCAGGCAATGGACGTTCAAGGAAAAGAAGCAAGAATTCGTAGAAAACAAAGTCCCAACGCACGAGAACTCCGACACAATTTTCCGACTTCCACGGCAAATGGCCGAAAATTACGACAGCAATTATACCCACAAATGTTTGTCTACAGGGGAATCGTCGTTTCTGAATCCTATGAGCTTGGAGTCTATGTATTTCACTTCCAATAACGAGACCGAAAATTTCGATCCAAACTATACCGATTGCTCTTCCTATAGGAAAGACTACGGTGACAAGAGTATGAAGACATTCGATCAAAATCAGGGGAACAAAGGTAACATGGACTTGGTTTATGTCGGTAAGTCGTCGACGAGCCAACTGGAACTGGCAACGGTACCGAAGGACAAGATGACCTTGCTCAGTCAAATAGAGCCAAGTATTCCGGACAAATCGTCCGAGGAGATGACCGCCAATCTGTCAGCCTGGTTCGCCAGCATGAGGAACTCTGAAACTGGAAACGTAATGCCCCGGTTGCCAACGCGTCAAGAGATGCCGAAGAATACGATGGATCTTAGCAATTGCATCAGACAGTTACAGATCGATGCGAACCGTCAGTTTCAGACACTCCAGAATATGCAGAGTATTCAGAGCGCGCCTTGGAACAGCTACAACCTGATCAACAATCGCATCCAAGTGCAGCAAGTTCATGAAGAATACGATAGCTCCGAGGACGGCCGAGTGTACATGAAGCCAGGCAGCTATAACGTTCCGAAGAAAAGGCATCAGCGAAGATCCACTCGTCGTTTGGACAATTCGCTGCCTCGAAACGCAGTTAGTGGATCAACGAATAGCCATCGTACCCATAATACGAATAAGGAAAAAGTTTTTTTTGCTCCAACCCCTGGAACTACGCATCTGTCTCGGACCACCACCACATCTGTTTCAACCAGTGCTAATAATCCCGTGAATACATCGGTGAAGTTACCCTTCCCAGCGACACCTATCGTACCGCCGCCCGTTTTTTCCCTCGAAAATTCACCGCGAATTTTGAAACGGATCGACGCGACGAGCTATGCGGTATCTGAAGATGTCACATGGAAAGCAGCGTGTGCCTCGGCTGAAATTTTACTAGAGGCGTTAAACGTGAAAGAGGATGTTAATGTCAACAAGGAAGAAGACCATCGCAGTAATCCCATTACGGAGCGAGATAATATCACGAAAGAGGAAAATGTCGATCCTGTGACACAATTCGTGCAGAGTCAGGAGAAATTACAGGAAAGTTTTTCCAAAACGTTGAAGGATGATAATGATGGTTTAGGGGGAGCGTCGAGTTATGAAGCGTCTGAGGATGATTCGGGCTCAACTTATCACTTCTCCCCTAACGCGAGCATAAACGAAGCTTTACAATCCTCTGAATCCAAAAATGGTAACTTGAGTTTCTTCTAAATATATTCACCATCTTTTATAAGATATTAGACCTGATTATAAGCATTTATCAATTTTATTCATTTTTAATCAGAATATCGATATCTATAAAATAACCTAATTCAAATAATTATCATTACTTTTTACGACATTTTGCCGTATATTTGGATGTATATACAAAGGATTTTTTAAGTTACTTGATGATATTTCATTAAGTTTCATTCTTTATTTGCAGTAATTACTCAACCTAATATTTTGAAATTCGTATTTTACAATTAATTAAAAATAGCAGTACTTTACTCACTGTTTCATAAGTAACGCAAAGTTCAGTACATTCAGTTGTAATGTCTACTTATATAAATAAAATTTAATCGCTTTAATACTTGAAGGACGGAAGTTTCGGTATATTACACTCTTGCAGTGTATTTAATTAATTGCATGTGTATTTGTGAAAACATATCGAAAAACACATTCCGTCCTTTTAGTATTAAATTTCGCAATATTTTATGCAGCTGCCCATTAACAGGTTCTAGTAAAATGAACGTAAAAACGGACTCGTGGCTAATCAGAACTTTGAACAACGCTAGCATGGCGAATAAGCAGAAACGGCGAAAGAACAGCACCGATCCACATACCTCGGAATCGTCGAACAGTTCAGTAATGGAAGACGAACAACCAATTCCCATTTTATCGTTAACGACCACAGCAACGACAATAGCAACAACCACGACTCTGAAGAACCTTCAGTCAACGAGCTACTCTAGGAAAAGTTTGTTCACCCCATTCAATAGTAACCAAACAACAACAACAACAACAACACCAGAAGAAATGGAACGTGTTGCAGGAAAAGCCACGTATTCCGAAACCGTGCGACGCTGTACACCCTTAAACTCGTCTCAATCGGATAAAAAAGAATTTTGCAGAAAAGGAAAATTAAACATTCTTAACTCATCGGCGATATGCAGTACCGTCATACCAATTCCTGGACGCAGGTGTCAGAGAAAGGAATCCGAGAAGTCGCACTACCTGTTGCATAATAGACAACGGAAATGTCCCGCAAAAAGGCTCGTGAAAAATTGCGAAATCACCGAGCTGCAAATGGAAGAAATATCGTACACCAAGCCCAGAAACACACGGACCGACACGATCAAGGAGAACGCGTTTGGAATTCCATCGGGAACGTCATTGTCCTCTGCGATCACGACGAAGCATGGAAAGAAAAAAAAGGAGAATGTCGGATTCGTGGAATTTTTGGACGGAAAATTTGGCGGAAAAACTAGCGATCGAGGCTGGTCCGTGTGGTACAGTTCCAAAAGAAAACAAAGTCTTAGCCCACTCGCGCTCAGCAAGCTGGAAATGATACATCGGATGGTTTGGCAAATGGAGGAAGCGGAAATCTTTAAGTGTCCGTCTTCTGCAGATAGCTGCGGCAATCAGGCCTCTGCACACGCGGTTAGTTGTTTTATTGCGAGATTACTGTATTGCAGAATCTATAGCATATAATAATTAGACATTTCTATTCTAGATTGAAGACTATTGTAAGGTAATCAAAAACCCAATGTTCCTTGAAACGGTTGAATATAAGCTGAAGAATCGTGTTTATCATAAGGTAGAACATGCGGTTCGGGATTTTCGCCGTATTGTTTACAATTCCAAATTATATCATAAGGTTTGTAGCCTAATTACATATAATTATCCAAATATCTGAAAACGAATTTAGTCTATTATAACTATGTTATAAAATATTCAGGTATATGTAGAAAATCTGTATTACTTTATTTTGTATATCATACTCAATACGCTTACATTGTTTGTAAAAGAAATATATTTTAGGAGCAACTGGGTTTGTTAAATGTAATGATTATTATTAATGTTACAAAGGTCATTTCATGGAAAATCGATAGAGTTTGAACATGACCGTCACCAGTCTTTTTCATTTTTTGTACAAACTTAGATAGGACCTATGAGAAAAGTATTTTGGTAAAACTTTAATATCCTGCGGAACATTTTGCCCGATCTACAGTAGTTTGAAAATCATAAAAATGGTCCATTTTCGCTTAGCAGAGGTATATTAAAAAAATCATAACTTTGGTTATAATCGGTCGATTGGGATAATTATTGTTGCGTTAGTTAGGGAAAAATACATCTTTTCTGAAAAAATACGGCTTCCTTTTTCCGGGCGAAAAATATCTCAAGCATAATGGAAACGTACTTTATCCTCCAATATTTCAAAACCCGCACATTTGATTTTTTTCATTGTTACACATGTTAATTACCATAGTTTCAGCAGCTGACTATAAAATTTTAAGAGTCCGATCGCAATGGGTTTTCGATGATATAAGCATTTTCTAAAATTATTTTCCCTTATAAATTTACTCGCTTTCCTATACGAATAAAAAAAAAAAACTAATATTTTTATATATTTTTATATTTACACAATATAAATAAAACATTTCTTGGTATTGAATGCGAATTGTTGTATAGATTAGACCTCTGCTAAACGAAAATGGACCATTTTTATGATTTTCAAACTACCGTAATTCCGGCAAAATGTCCCACAGGACATTAAAGTTTTACCAAAATGCAGTTCTTATAGGTATATATGTATATAAGTTTCTACAAGAAATGAAAAAATTGGTGACCGTCATGTTAAAAAAGTCCCAATTTTAATCGATTTTCCATGAAATAACCCACAAATAATAACGGGAAAAGACATATTTGGTATTAAATTTATCGTTTAACATTTTATCTTACTGCTCGGTAATAAACCACTTGAGACCTTTGCCGGAAGTACAACTATAAAAGAGAATACTACATGATGAAACATCCGTTTTTATTACAATTGAAATATAACATTTGAAGAAAAATTGATCAAACAGAATTTGATAGTTTTAAATAATGATTTCTTCCAAATCAACTGTGTATTAACAAAATAACCCTTTTAATCGTAGAATGACCATGATCGAGTGAAAACGATCGAAACGCTGTCGAAGAAACTGGAGGAACTGTTCGAAGAACATTTCGCCAGTTGGGATTTCGATAATATTAGCGGTAGTCCCAGGGAAGTTTCGCCGGTGTCGCATCGATTTAAATCAGCCGGGAAAAAAACAGTAACCGGACGTTACGGTAACACGAAGAAAAGTCCGCCTGTTTCGATCACAGAAAATATTTGATGTTCGAACACTATATACCGCTAAACTTTGAATTTATTGTGCCTCTAATCCATGGTGACGTGTTTGCCTACGATTTCTGTTACTGTTAGATTGAAAAACTACGGATTTCCACGGAATTCATATGAATCCGAAGGAAACACAGTTCGGTACACCTCCAATACTTGTCGGATTCCATCGTAACAACACGCTCTCTAGTCACGCCTTAGTTCATATCGTTATTATCATAAGCGTTCTACGAGTTTTCTTTCACAAAGCAACTTACTCCTTTCTTCGTTTATTTTTAAGGACCACAAAAGTCGAAACGCTTATGGTGCATTCGTGCGAAATATATTAAACGCAGGAAAAGAATAATTTTTTTTATACCATTAACGTTATACAAGAGAGAATAGTAATAATTATTTAATCGTATTACCACGGCCGATGACTAAAACTTGAAAAAACATATTATTACTATTACTACAATATTTCGTGTATTCTCTTTTGACAGTCATTCAAAAGAATCAAACCAAAATGCGAATTATTGAAATACATAATAAGGTGAAGCAATTTGTCAGTTGTCATGCGATCAATGTACATGGGATATACGTATCGATGAAAGGAATAGGAATATAGTGTTAAATTGTAATGTTAAACCGATAAAGGATTTACAGAATAAACGAGATGAAAAAAAAGAGAAGAGTTACAAAATCCCACCTAACCACGCGAGAAAACAACGCATGCGCAGTACGAGAGTAATGTAACTTAAAAGTTATTGTGCATCTACCGTAGAAATGTCAGATGACGGTGCGAGTAGTGTATACGTATAGAGTATAGTAATGTCAAACACTGAGGAAACGGAAAGATGGCGGTCAAGCCATAATTTTGCGATGCATCGGATATAGTTTATAAATGGGGCGTCTCACTTTCCCAAGGGATTTATCCGAGTCATAATATTATCGTACGATGTGACCACGCTGATTACGACCATCCCGTGAAGCAAATCTTGTGAAGAACGGAAGAAAACATAGAAGAGGGAGAAGAAGGGAGAAGAGAGAAAGAGAACGGACACCCAGTTTATACGTAACGAGTGTCGAAGCGGTTCATTGCTCCGCTCTAACTTATCGCCAAGATGGATTGGGACTCGATCACGATAGCGAACCTTCACTTAACGATGACCGAACACCAATACTACGAGGACATTTTTAGTTATTGTTGCGAAAACACTGACAGCGAGAGTGTACCGGTGATCAAAGTCGCCGAGCTGCTACGCTCGGCAAATTTACCAGGACTTGTCACGATGAAGGTAAATTACGCCTACCCGTTATGCTTAGCCTGTCAGCTGTTGATTTTCTGTCATTCCCGCGAATCAAATGTTCAGATCATGCGTTACGATTAATTATCTGAAGGTGGTCGTTTAATGTGTCATAACATGTCATGATCTCCGCAAATTCTGGAAACCCAAGCAGGTTAAGTCTCAATAAAGATCATAAGCGGATTGTTATGTTACCGTTAAATAACGAATTAGCCAATAACTATTTCATGTCCTTAAAAGAAAAGTAAATTGAATGCAAAGTCAATCATTGGCCGTGGAATATTCCTGATATGAATATGGAATATAAATTATGAATGTACATGATTGAAAAATTGATTAATTGTTTAGTACTCTTGAATGTTACAACAGCTCTTAAACACGAGTCTATGTTTAAATCGCAAAAGTGTTATGAACTTACTGGACAAATTGCATTATTGTAGAAAATTTCAAACATATTTTTGTATTATTATTAAAAATAATATTGTATTAACGGATTATGGCTTAAGCTCAAATTATCATTTTATTCACATGCTATTTCATTTATAAGTTGATCGTTTATTAGTATCAATAGTAAATAACTATGTTAAATAAATATATGAATAATGGTTTTAGGTATCTTCATTTTATTGGCAATTAATATATATTATAAAATATATTGCATTATTTTCATAGATATTTTTTGAATTCTATTTTAGACTGTATGTAAATATTGAACTGTAGCACAAGAAGCTTATCTTAATATTTCAGGAAAAATTTGAATTTTTGTGGTTTGTAGATATTGGATATTTGTTTTGGAACTGAAGCACCTTGCATCGCAACACACCTTGGAAAGAAACAATTTTATGGATTATTGAAACTTGTGGCAGCTCATCAAGCAGGACTTAATATTCGCAAAGACTTAATCACTATACTTTTAGACGTCATAAGGCTGCCAAAATTTACTTGGCCAACATCAGGGGATGAAGATGACAAAAGAAGTTTTGATTCATATAGAGCTGTGAAAGGTCGACATCATGCTCCTGAAAGTACTACAGAAAGTGAAAGCGAAGCAGAATCTCCAAGGGAAACTGGAGGCAGTACAGATTCACCGACACCAACAAACAGTATAATACAAGAACGAAATAATGATATAGGTGGTGAAACAATATTGGACTCCGTGACAGGAGGTTGGCAAGGTTTATCTGAAGAACTAAGACAATTATTAGGGACTGAAGAAGAAAGTTCAGAACGTCACAGCAGTGACGAAGGTGATAGTGATGGTGATTGCTCAGGATTTCCACCAGAAGTATGGATAATAACTGACGAACAACGTGACTATTATACAACTCAATTTTCGCAGCTACAATTAGATTCTGATGGACTCCTGCATGGTCATATTGCCAGGACATTTTTCCAAAAATCTGGCCTTCCTTTTGAAGAACTTAGTCACATTTGGCGGCTAGCAGATATAACCAGGGATGGGGCATTGAGTTTAGAAGAATTTCTTGTGGCTATGCATTTGGTTGTGTTACGAAGAAATCATGTGCCTCTACCTGATGTGTTACCTCCACCTCTATTAAATCCACTGCTTACAACTGCTCAGAGAACTCCACCTAATACCACAAGCACTTGTGAAAAAAACAAAGAATGGACAAAATTTGTGGATTCTCCAACCGGAACTAATAGCTCCCTTACGATCCCAGGTCTGCAATTAGTAAATTTTGATTTTCAAAAGTCTGATGTTGCGAAAGATCCTAAAATTTTGCATCCAGTACCATTACGCTTAACACCTGAAGCAGCTATTCTTGCTTCTGGAGCAAATGGTAATAGTAATAGTTGCACTACATTAGGAGATGATGACCTTCAACCTGCTGCAACAGCATTGCTTCAGAGACCTTTAATTAAAAAACCATCTGCTCCTCCTGAAGATGGACTTATTGTAACTCCAAAGAAGGAACCACCACCTCCACCACCACCCAGGCCATATAGAACACATGCAAGAAGTTCTAGTCTTGATCTTAATAAACTAGGTATATGTTGCTACCAATACTCTGCAATACTTTTCATCTGTGGCTGTGATAGCAAAGTTTTATGCTTCAAACTGTGCACATTCTTGCAGGGAAAAATGGTCAAAGTTTCCTTGGAGCACCTCCACTAATTCCGCCTAGAGTCTCACCTGGAATTGTAAGTACTTTTGTTTATTTTTAAATTATTTGAACATTAAGTACTAAAATTAGAATTATAAGTTTATATATTAATTATGTTTAATTGAGCTGCTTTTCACGGACCTCAGCAGTAGATATTTTATATACTATACATGTATACAATTTTGCGAATTCCGAATATGTATTATAAAACACAGGCAAAATTACTACTATAAATAGGTTTTTTTTATACATCTCTACTACAGACTTCACCTCGAAAGTTGGTTGGGCAAAAAAGTGAGGGAGAGGGACAAAAAACTTTAAGTGATAATCAAAGTTTTGTCGCTGATTTTTCTCACTTTTCTCCAAAGAGCGAACTACCAGAAAATCTGCCTTCGGAAAGCACTACTCCTCAATCACTACGATTTAGTGGTGTCTGTGGTGCATTTCATATTTATAGAAAACCCAGTCCGAGTAAGTATGTTTATTTGTCATCGATTATGAAAGTGTTTTTGTAAATTGAAAAAATGTTCCTGTTTTCTAGAACGAGAAGGAGGAGAAGAGGACACCCCGAAGGACGAAGTGGAAGAATCGAAAAAGTTAACGTTACAAGAGTTGCGAGAAAAGAATGCTGAATTGCGATTAGTTTGCGAAGAATTAACACGAGAATTAACCAACGCACTCCAGGAACGTATAAATCTTCGTGCGAAACTTTTACTTTTAACATGATGGAATTTGTTACCATTTGTGAACGCTCCAACCTGTGAGATATCGATTTTTCCTGAATTCATCGTAAACTCATGTATTTGATACATCATTCTAGTCTAGATTTTTTTCCTTTTCCAATGAAGTCTCATGTATTCATAATCATTAGCGTAACCAAAAGTTAAAATTACGAAACAGATATCAATAGAAATTATACAAACTCTGTGAAATGAGTTGACTATTCGATCTGTTTTCGTCACTGTTACTTGATGTTTTAAAAATCATTTGCACTTTGATCGTATATTTGTGTATTTTTAAATCTTTGGCGGTTGTAACGCATTTAAACATGACTATTTACAAAGCAAGATTATTTTAAAAGAAATTGCATGCATTTTACATTATTACAGAATTACAGAAATTATATGTATACTGGATGAAATACATATAACTTCAGGTTATCGTATCAATTCGTATCATTTACTATTTTTAAATAAAAATAAGTCGAATATTTATTTTCGAAATTTCTTTGTTCATTTTCACAAACATTTAAGTACGATGTACACCGCTGATGAATAAGGTATTGGAAGCTTATACTGCCCAGATTGCTACTAATTAGGGTTCTTGGGTATGCATAAATCGTTTTCTTGTGGAATATTACATACTGTTCAGTTAAAATTTTATTACTATCACTAGACTGCGGCTTTTTATGCAAAATAACATTTTCCAAAGTAATTTGTAAAGACAGGAGCATATGTAGAAATTTATTTTTGCTCTTAAGTATCCTATTGGGTTCAGACTAAAATAGAAAAATCATTGGATACAATGAAAGTTTTGTCTTTTATTGTATTTCACAGAGCCCTATGGGCCATAAATGCATAAAATCCACAGTCTAACTATCAGTAAATGTGACAACTGCCAAAGGCTTAATATCGTTGTGGTATATATAAATAAGTAGTTAATAAATATTTATGTTACAGTTTCATTAAAGAAGATGAAATTTTCATAATACTTGGAAATTTTTTATATTTAAGTAAGATTTTTCATGGTTACGCTATTATCCATGTGTTATCCTTTCTCACCAGCAATTCCAGTGTGCATTATTAAGAGCGCAAGTACAAGTATTGTAGCGACATCTGCCACTCTTTAACATTCGAATGTTACAGCATTTTAAGATTTAAATCATTTTGAGAACTTATATTTTTTATGCATAATATTGTGCTGAATTGCTAAAATAATAGTTCTTTATATGTATATAAGAATCTTTTAAAAGTTGAATGTTTACATCGAGCGATAGTGAGAGCTTGATGATTATTGTAAACTGCAAAATTATTATAGAAACATATTGTAAAAATGAGTGATAGATGTTTATTGGTTACGACGACAAAATGAAACTGTATTTTCGTAACGCTGTACAATCAAATTTTTCACAGCATGGCATATAATCGAGAATCGGTATTCCTGACAAAGTGTTATAATGTATTTCGTTTCGTGATAGTAATTGTACATAGACAATAGAGTTTAGATCAAGGAATGAGAGAAAATGAAGTCTGCAGGAACAGAACATTCAGAGAATAAATATACTTTAAAAAAAATGTTAATATTCTAAATCAATTTGTTGTTTTAATTTTGTTTCACTTTACATATTATTTAAAATATTGCTTTTAATTCTAAAACAAAGTAGTTCACTATAGGATTTGTAATTTTACTTGCAAACACCATACAAATGCTTTATTGATATGAAAAACATGAATCTATTGATTAATGCTGCTAACAAAAATTATGTAACAGGTAATTCCTTGTGCCATACAATATGATATTTTATTACTAACATTGTAGCCACTATTGACAGGCTAGCAAATAATACTGTCCTGTCGTTAAAAGTTGTTTCGAGATATATGTTTCGGGTCAAGAATTATACAAAAAGATCTTTTTGTAAGTGCATAGATATTGTATACAAATCATATAAAATTGTTATTTACTCATTCCCTTTATTAGTGTATTCCTGTAAAAATGTAACTATATACAAGAAAGTAAATATGTGAAGAATAAACAACCTTTTAGTTTGATAACAATTTTTATTGATGTCAATGAATGATAAATAGTAATGTTTCAGAACGAAATCGTAAATATTTTAATATCTCCCTTGCAAATGCTGAATAAATGGATGATAGAAATCACTTAAAATGTAACATACATTGTCTAAACGATACGGCACAAAAAAACAATAATTTATGTTACATATTTGTTTGTGTACTTTTAGGGCATATACATTGTATATGCAGCTACATTTTTGTATTATTAACAAATAGGTTCAATAACTACAATCAAAAATTCGAAGTAATACACAGTAAATTTTAAACTGTTTTATTTTGTACTGACTTTGACGGTAAACTGAGTTATTTCTGCAAGAAGAAATGTATCTGCTAAAATACCATTGTTTTACATTTTCAATTTCTGTTTGAAAACGCTAATTGGCTAACAATAACGTCATGTAATCTGAAAAATTCATACAACGATATGCTATTTGCATGTATCGTATGATACACATCATACAGAAACATTTATGAAAGTATTACACGTGACATACAAAACCTGCTTAGTTGTCTTTCGTTTGTATGTACTTAATCAAATCGACTACACGGTTGGAGTAACCATATTCGTTGTCATACCACGAGATCAATTTAACGAAGGTATCATTTAATGGTATACCAGCTTTAGCATCAAAAATACTGGAGTGGTTATCACCAATGAAGTCAGAAGACACTACATCATCTTCTGTGTAACCAAGGATTCCTTTCAAAGGTCCTTCAGCAGCTTCTTTTACCTTAGCTTTAATAGCATCATAGGTTGCAGGTTTGCCAAGTCTGACTGTTAAATCAACAACAGACACATTGTGTACTGGTATGTTTTGTGCAGCTCCACGACCATCTCGCCACAACTATTCCATAATTAAAACAAGGGTAAATGTGACATAGATAATAATTATAGTACAAAGAGGAGTAGTGTGAAAGTATTGTATATACCTTGCCAGAAGGTCCATCAACAGTTTTCTGTGTAGCAGTGATAGCATGAACAGTAGTCATAAGACCTTCAACAATCTCGAAGTTGTCATGAATAACTTTAGCGAGAGGAGCCAAGCAATTGGTGGTACAAGAAGCATTGGAAATGACTTTGTGGGATGGGTCATATGCCTCAAGATTAACACCAACAACAAACATAGGTGCATCAGCTGATGGTGCAGAAATAATGACCTTCTTAGCACCACCTTCTAAGTGAGCCTATAAAAACAATAAAAATAGTTATTTCAAGTAATTCTTTTTGTAATTCATAGGCCTCATAAATAATTACATGAATTTCTACATACAGAAGCTTTGTCTATGGTAGTGAAAACACCAGTGGACTCCACAACGTATTCTGCACCAGCTTTTCCCCATGGAATGGCTTTTGGTTCACGTTCACTAAATACAGCAATTTTAGTGCCATTTACAACTAAGCAACCATCTTCAGCTTTGACCTCTCCCTTAAATTTACCATGAGTGGAGTCATACTTGAACATGTATACCATGTAATCCAAACCAATGAATGGATCATTGATAGCAACAACCTATAGAATTTATAACATTAATTAATTTATAAATTAATTGAGATAATTAAAAACGAATAAATGAGATATTATTCTTAAAGAATAATGAATTAAGCTATGGAACTACTGAATACCTGGGCACCACGTTCAAGAGACGCCCGAAGCACAAGACGACCAATACGGCCGAATCCGTTAATTCCGATTTTACTCATGATGCTTTCTGAACAACTAGAAAATAAACGTAACTTTTGATACTGGGTTTTTGTACCAGCAAATACGTGTTGGTACTGATAAATAATTTTTTGTGCAATCAATGTTAATTTCATCACGATGTGTTCTATAAGGTTAATTTTTTTCGATTTATTTCTTATTTACAATGCTTATTGCTTTCTGTATTAATAAACATGAAAAATATTAATGTGGAAATATAATATTTCTAATCTGTATGCACATGAGAATTTTTATAAATTTCCTTATTCATTATAGAACAATCATAATTTTGTGTTTTGTTGCAACAATTACGAAGTCCAACGAAGACTATGTTACCTATAGTTAAATAATAAAAATTTCCATTTATAATAAATTATACGTAGAAAATGAAATAAATTGTTTGCAGTTCAGATTCTGTGCTAGAAGGTCACTGAAGGTCAAAAATAGATAGCATCCTCCGACTTGTCCTTGAAGGCAAACGTGACCTTTTATACGTATACATAGACGAACAATTATGATAAATAAAAGCACTATTAATTTTGAATAAAGTATATTGACATGTAATAAGTGTAATATGAGTTGCAGTTACATTTACTTCCGACATACAGGTAATATGACGCAACAATGATAGATAAAAATGACAGCAGAATATGCTATTTACATGTTATAATGATTCGCAACTCAAAATCGGGATCTTTTCTAATTCCATACTTTCTTAGTATAATTAGCATTACATATTATATTGTATATGAAAACTGATTTACTCTAAAAACTAAAGCAGAATAAAACTGATCAACATTCTCGAAATGCCTTAAAAAATTAAAACCTTTAAGTGATTATGAAGAATAAAACCCTGAATTTCTTTATTAGTATTTTCAAAACATTAACTCAAGCATACAATGTATTATAATATTGATCAATAATCTCTGCTGGGTAAAAAGGTACTGAAGATATCCGAATTTCATTCCGAGGTTATTATAGGAATTTAGAAATATATATTATATGCCTGGTACTTATATAGTTTCTTTGCAATCGTAACAAAAATAAATCTTTTAAAGATAATAGAATAATCTTACAAGTAGGTAGTATGAAATGATAGTTTCTTAACAGAATGATTCCGCCGGGAAGCAAATGTGGACGTGGGTCCTAATAGCAGTGCACGTTTTCTCGAAGATTCTGAGACAGATACTAGATTTGCCGATTTATGAGTTACTATAGGAAGATGCTTATATTCAGTGACGTCATATCAGCCGGTATGCACGGCATGTAGATGTACATGCTACATAATTCCAGATTGAAAACCGAAATATAACTGGGTCTCTACTTTGTTCTTAATGGAGACCAAGCCAGTAATGAATGTATAAATACGTCCAGTGATTTAAAATACAAAAACGTGGTGGATATTTGTTAATTTTAAAAGAAACTAAGAATAAAAGCAATTGCAATTAATTCGAAAATCTATATTACTTACGTGAAAAACGACCCACACGCTACGATTACCACAGAAATAGTGTCATTTGAAGGGCAGAAAACGGTAATATAACCGGCGTCGATCTGGGTGTATGCGCTGTAACCGTTTTTTAACTTCGTGGTTTCTCGGATACGCTCGGATCACGTGTGCTAGTAGTCTTATCGACGTAATAATAAACCGCTAAATTCGAATCTTTTTGTTCAAAGCATTCTTTACACCGTGCATCTATAACGAAAAATTCAGAAAATCGTATCACATTGTAAAATACTTGTGACTATATAAGATTTAATTAATGAAATGTATATACTGATATCTGAACGTATGTTACAAAATAAGTTAAATAAGTTTCATATGTGCACGTTAAAACTTTATTGTAGAGGTGTTGTGTTGTTCAGTGAGTTTAATATACATGTATGTAAATACGTTTAAGTAATATTTAATTTTTTGAATGAATTGAGCATTTAAACTGCATAAGGCGCCAGAATAAGACGTCAGTAAAAAAGAATTGTTGCCTCAGTTACTAGTAAAACTTCTGTTTATTTCATACTATTATTCATTGTAATTTTTTCATCGATACTGCATAATAACAATTGTTAGAATTCGCTTCTAACTAATATTTAATTGTTAAAAATAACCCATTGTTTCACTTGCGGAAAAAATATGATCGTTAATATCTAGTCCTCGAGCCATTCCTTTTTTTGCCTGTACCATTTTTTTAGCATTTCTTGGTTTCGTAGACGTAGACGTAGACTGTAGACGATGACAGTGTCAATGTTGATAACGATCAAACGTCAAACGAAAAATTCTCACTTTTTTAAAAACTTGTTCGAAACTTACGTATAAAACATAGTCAAAATCATTTAAATAACATAATTAATATTTCACATTACTCATAAATATTTAGACAAAGTTGTTTAATCGATTATGATAAAATAAAAATTATCCACTTACGAAAAATCATTACAATATATTCACATCTTATACGTTACTCTATAGTATCACGATTTCTATTAAATATTATTAATAATAATTTGCATTACAAAAATAACATCGTTAGAAATATTAAATTCATCGAAAAATAATTTTCGCATACCTGTCCGCGTAGCTTGCGTTTTTCGCGCACCACAGACCATAAAAATGAGCGCGTGATTGAAAATCGGGTTCTCAGACCTGTAGGAACTGCCTGTTATGATCACCTGGCTTCTGACTATCAGTAACTAAGTAGTTCCAAGTCATTGCTAGACAGTGGCCGAAAAATATGAACGGGTTCTCTCCCTTATCCAAACCTGACTAATAGGGTCACTGTTCTTCCTCTATTTTATTATAACTCTAGTTTTAAGAGTATATCAGTGCCTCTCCCCCCTCATTACACTTAATTAAATTTTTTTTAACGTTTCAATGTGTTTCGTCGTCATCGAACGAAGACATCGCTGTCGCCGCTGGATATTTAGCTTAATGCGTTTAGTTTAGGTTACTTATAATTATTGTTTTAATAATTTATTAATTATTATTTAATTAAGATAGTTATTACGTATTGTAAAATAATTGTATAATATGTCGAGCAGTTATTACTTTAGTTCCCGAGCGATCGGTTTCTGAACCAGTGATCCGATCAGGTATAAAATTACATGTATAAAATAGGCATATACAAAAAATACGATATATATAGAGAGATTTATATAAAATATAACGATCTCTGTACAGGTTTTACGAGGTGTTTTCTGTATAAAAAATAAATTTACCGTTCTACTATAAACTCGGTTCTATGGCCGGTCTTGTTCTACTCTTATTAAAAATATTCTCTTTAAACGTATTATTTAAACGTTTATACACTGGGCGTCAAAATTAAGGAACCACTAAATATTTGCCGAAAATATGGGTCATTTTTAAATGACTATATCTCTGCGAAAAATAGTTATAAAAAATATTGTATACGACCATTTTCTAGCCTGAAGTTTCTAGTTTTTGAATAGAGAATTCAAAAATTATTTTCATGTAGTTTGTTCCTTTTTTTTTAAAGATGAAACGCAGCAAGCGAATGTTAAAAAATATTGGTCAACTTTTAGAGAATGCGTGGGCCAAATAAAATGTTTTCTAGTAATCCCAATGGAATGCTTTTAGAGAACAAACTTTTCTCCTTAATTTTCTTTGTTTAATTTTGTTGTACAATTTTTATTGGCTGAGTTATTCGGCATCATATGAGAAAAGGCACTTTCCACTTTGAGCGCCTGTAACTTGCGAACGCATGATCGTATAGAAAATTCCGAAAGAATTTTTTAAAGCTGTGAGATTTCTCTTTAAAGGCCTTCAGTTGCCAATTTGTTGAAATTTTCCTTCATCGTATACAGTCCATTTCAAAATAACGTAAAATATTGCATAATTATCATTTTTCACAAAACACGATGCCATTTTAACCAAAATCGTGGAATCTTCCATGTATCCACGTTTTTTTCAAGTTAAAAGTACACGTATCCTAACCCCTGTGCCAAAGGCCGAACTGATCACATTTTTTTTACCCTATGCCCTCGATAGTCAAACTTGCAATATGGTCTGAAAAATTGGTGAATGACTCTTTTGCGGTACATTTTCTCTTTAAAACGATTGTGCAGCGTTTTTTTTTTGCGCTAACAGATGCCAGGATACTCATCTCATTACACTGCGAGGAGATGCAATGGAAAGGAAGAAGTTTGGTGAAAAAAAGGCAAATTAAGTTCAGTAAAAAAAAGAGTGCATCTATCACAATAACTAAGGAAGGGTAGGATGTACACAGCATCTGCACTCTCTCATCACTTCGCATTGTGCACTTTTTGTCATTGCGAAGAGATTGGCTAGATATGTGTTTGCTAAATTTCTGAAATCTCTCCTTTCTTTTAAAATAAAGTGAAACGAAAAGAAACGGATCATAACAGTTCAAACGCTGCGAAATCGTTTTAAAAAGGAAACGTACCGCAAAAGAGTCATTCACCAATTTTTCAGATCATATCGCAAGTTTTACTATCGAGGGCATAGGGTAAAAAAAATGTGATCAGTTCGGCCTTTGGCACAGGGGTTAGGTTACGTGTACTTTTAACTTGAAAAAAACGTGAACACATGTAAGATTCCACGATTTTAGTTAAAATGGCATCGTGTTTTGTGAAAAATGGTAATTATGCAATATTTTACGTTATTTTGAAATGGACTGTATACGACGAAGGAAAATTTCAACAAATTGGCAACTGAAGGCCTTTCAAGAGAAATCTCACAGCTTTAAAAAATTCTTTCGGAATTTTCTATACGATCATGCGTCCGCAAGTTACAGACGCTCAAAGTGGAAAGTGCCTTTTCTCATATGATGACGAATAACTCAGCCAATAAAAATTGTACAACAAAATTAAACAAAGAAAATTAAGGAGAAAAGTTTGTTCTCTAAAAGTATTCCATTGGGATTACCAGAAAAAAATTTTATTTGGCCCACGCATTCTCTCAAAGTTGACCAACATTTTTTAACATTCGCTTGCTGCGCTTCATCTTTAAAAAAAAGGAACAAACTACATGAAAATAATTTTTGAATTCCCTATTCAAAAACTATAAACTTCAAGCTACAAAATGATCGTATACAATATTTTTTATAACTATTTTTCGCAGAGATATAGTCATTTAAAAATGATCCATATTTTCGGCAAATATTTAGTGGTCCCTTAATTTTGACGCCGAGTGTAGTATATTTTCATCCTTTAATTGAAACACACCATGTATATGTGTACCACTACCTTCATATGTATATTAAATATATTGATTGTGTTATAATTTTATACAATTCAGTTTTCTTGGTCCTGGTTTTCCTCCAAACTTTTTGCAGGTAGTTGTATTTCACCAGAATCAACTTGATGCATGTATTGCACCAGGTCTACTACACGATGTGCATAACCGTATTCATTATCATACCTGCAATCATTTACATATTTATAGTTGTATCAAGGTATTCCAATATGCTTAATGTATAATAATAATAATAATAATAATAATAATAATAATAATAATGTTAAAAAGCAAATGCTTTGTTTTCATAGTTTACATTGTGTAATACAAAATATGGTATAATTACCAGGCAACAACTTTGATGAATGTACTTGTCTGTGGAATGCCGGCTTTTGCATCGAAAATACACGAGTAACTTGTGTTGCAGAAATCAGATGATACACAATCGTCGTCTGTATAACCGAGAATATTTTTTAGTTCATTCTCTGATGCTGCCTTCATTGCTTCCTTCACTTCTTCATATGTTGTTGGTTTATTAACTCTGAAATTGAATATCATCCAAAAAGTAAGGACTTAATGTACCAGTACATATTCTATTAGTTATTATTTTTAGTTATTAGTTACTGTTTGAAGTAGACAATATAATAGTGCATTTTGCAATGTTAAGGCCTGTTACAAAGTCGAGCGGAGCATCCGCGCTACACGCAGGGACTTCTACCGAAACGTAAAATACCGGTATTTTTGGTTGTACCTTCGCCCTATACATATAACCCTACAAATACATACAAGCTCTACCCTTATGGAAACCAAAAAATACCGGTATTTATTTCGGTTTTCAGTAATATATCGGTGTTGGTATAGCTTTGATGGCATAATACCGGTATCAAAATCATATCGGTTTAAGTCCCTGGCTACACGTGCGGAGCAAATGTACTTATGCAGGTACATTACATACATATATGGGAGCGTTCACAGTTCAGCGGACGGTCCGCTCGCGGAGCAGCCGAACGCGTGATCCTTCTGTATCAGCGACACATAATTACATGGAGACAAATGTAGTATTTAACTGTCGAGCGGATTCCGTCGAGGATTAAACAGTTACCATAGGTGTAGATACGGAAATAGTTTAAAAAATTGTTTTCATTTTCACATAAATCAGTATACATATAATGACACAAAAGCGCCTTCTAAACTCCTTTGAGCAATAAGAGAATGTACCCCGTATCGCCTATTTACCCGAATTTCTTTTTTCTTCCTTTTGTGTCAATAATAAAACATAGCGATAATTTTATGCATTAATTTGGTCATATTTGAATAAAACAAAACTACATAATAGAACTTCAATACAGGCTATCATATAATAGTTATAATACTTGCTACTGAGACACGATGACTGAAGTAAGACTAATCGCGAACAAATCGCGGACAATAATCTGCTTGACTGTGAAAAGACATCGAATCGTCCGCGCTCCGCTCAACTCTATAACGGGCCTAAGAGTAGAAGAAGATACATATTACCCTAGTAACAATTATTGTTGGCATTTTAATGAGCCATTGATGGAATATTGGTTGGCCAACAGTTAGAATTGTTACCCTTTTTTGCAACTGGGCCAATGATCATACCCAACGTAAGGTCACATCACTATAATACGAAGAGCCAACTGGAGGTTCCTTTCTGTAGGGCCAATTGTTGATTATCTACAATAAACCAATAATAGGAAGACAGTTGGCTATACTACACTTCCTTAAATCCTTTAAAAATATTTGAAGGAGTATAACACTGGAAATAATATTATATTTATAATAATTACTTGTTATAATAATTACATACATGTATAAATTGTATATGTATATTAAATAAGTAAAGAAGTGTTTTACCAGCAAAGTAACCTTTACAATTTATTATGTACAATTTATACATGTAGCTAATTATAACAAATAATTATTATAAGTTATTTCCTATCTTCTGTCTCCTGACTCTATTTCAGTAACAAATTGCGAATATACTCATAAATAAGAAAACAAAAAAAATCAATTTGAAATATAATAAGTTTTTGGTTGTAGCAACATTTCTGACGTCTCCAAGACTATATTTAAATGTTGTCAAACTTTGGGTGGGCCAATGTTGTATTATCATTGTAAATGTCTTGTTAATTAATCAACTATAATAATTGTAGGCCAAACACTCGATATTCGTTGGCAAATAGTCATGACTTTTTCGTCGTGGGCCGTATTTTGGGAATTTGTAGGCAAAACCACTAACTATATCCCAACTAACTCCCGACTGTTGAATACCGTTGGTCAACCATTATTGCTACTAGGATACTGCTTTAAATTATCTCATATTTTGTAATTTATAATATATCATGTATATGTATATACATATTTGTTACCTGAAAGTCATATCACACAAAGAAACATTCGGGACTGGTACCCTGAAGGCTATTGCAGAAATTTTCCCCTTGAGATCAGGAATAACTTTGTCCAATGACTTTGCTGCGCCTGAAGATGTTGGAATAATATTTTGGATACCGCCTCTGCCATCTCTCCATAGCTATAATACCAACGTAATTATAATGTGTTCACTTACAATAATATACGGAGTGTCTACGACCACCTACGACCGAACATCTACATATCTTCTTTATTTTAAATGATACGAGAAATCTTTCAAACCCAGTTTGAATGGTTTTAGAAAGGGAATATCGTACATGAAACATTTTTTTCATGATCATTTTTCGAGTTCTTTTCAGATGACGGTATTTTTTTACTAGACAGAATGTACTTTTTTTACTGTATCATGTAGCACGTGTTAACGTGTGAACCTGAACATTGAAAAAATAATGAAATTTAAAAAATTTATCATATCATTAAAAATAAAGAAGATATGTATGCAGGTATTCGGTCTTAGGTAGGACACCCTGCATAGAATATATCATTATCACTGAAAGGAAACTCTTAAATAAAAACAGAAACAATCATCCGTTATTTGTAAAAAGCAACAGGGAATAGACTTAATATAAAGTCTGTATTGTACCTGTATTAAAATACTGGTACCGAATAAAATGGATAATAATAATGTACGTTATAAGTTGGTAATAAATGTGAAAATCGTAACAAAGTAACGAATATTTACTTTTCCTCGCTCTATGGGACCATCTAAAATTCTTTGTGATGGTGTCAAAGCATGAACACTGGTGATCATTACTTCGAGAACTTCGAAGGTACCATGCATAACTTGAATAATTGGCGCTGCACAATTTGTCGTACAAGAAGCAGCTGATACTATTTTACCTTTTTTTGGATCATAACAAGCATGATTTACACCATAAACCAGCATTGGTGCGTCAACAGAAGGTGCGGTAATGACGACCCTCTTGGCTCCACCATCCATGTGCAACTACCATCATGAATATTGTATAAAAAATGACTTCAAAAGTGAAAAACAGGATGACAATTGAAAAGGAATATCTCACTCCTGCTTTGTCCAGGGTATTAAATACTCCAGTAGCCTCAATTACATAAGTTACACCGGTATCTTTCCATTTTATTTTGCACGGATTTTTTTCTTGCGATGTAGCGATTTTCTTATCTGTAAAAATGGAACCAATTTAAATCTTAAGATTTGGCTTAAACTTTTCAAGGTAAGGAATTTTATACAAATTATATAAGTGCACAGCGAAAGTTTTTAATAAAGCAAAAAATTTAGTAAAATATACATCCAGATAGCACCGTACATCTAAAGAACGTCCGTTTCATGTCCAGTTTATATCCGAATATCCTACGTTCATTTTGGACATCCTTAGGCTGTTCGTAAGACTTAAATTTCGGTCGTTCTAGAAACTTCCGTTCCGAAAGTCCTACGGATGTTTTCAAGACTTAAATTTCGCATGTTCTAAGACTGTCCGTTTCTTAAGTCTTACGAATGTTCGAAAGATTTACATTTCGGATGGTTTCGTTTAGTAATTTTGGCTCAATGTCATTCCGTGCAAGATGATGGAACCCAATGAGCAAAGTGTTATTCTTTAGAGAAGTAATAGAGAAGTGTAACGTCACTAGTGGTTTTGTGCGGAAACTCAGAAAATTTGAAAAAATATTTCTTTTCTTTAACTGTCTCTAACCAACATACAATCATTATTTTGCTTTGAAAATAAAAATAAACACAATGTACACACAGATCATAACCACCAGACCTATATTTTCATCATAATTCCTTATAGGAAATTTAACCTTTTATTTATTAAGAAGAACTAACTTGATCTAACTTCTATTATCTGCGGGAATCGCAGGAATGTTAATCTTTTATTTACTAAACACAAAGCAACCTAACCTAACTTCTATCCCAGATTATTAATGCTTTAAACATTTGGAAAACGTTTCTTATACGCCTTTTAAGACATTACCATAGCGTTTTTAATACCTCTTTAAACGTTCCCAAAAAGTACATACAGAGAATGTTACTTTCACACATTAGGAAAATGTTTTGAGAATGTTAACAAGGACGTCCTCAGGACGTTCCACTTTGTAAACAGGACCTTCCTAGGGCATATAAAGATCTTAACAAGGACGTAGGGGGGGGGGGGAGGATGTGAACCTTTTCGGGACATCCTCCGAATGTACCAAACGTCCGGAACGTACGTACATATGTCGTTTTTGTGCTATTTGGGTACAGTCATTTATTTTTTGTTATTAATTTACCTTTCCTTATTATAATATTTAACAGTTTAATGTAACTACAAGAAAAAAACATCGTTATGCATGGCTTTTACTAAATATAAGAAAGTGCAATGTTATAAAATATGTAGAGATACCTGCAACAATAATGTGTCCGTCTTCACATTCCAGCTTCAAAGGATAAGTTCCGTGTGTCGAGTCGTATTTAAATAAATATATCATATAGTCGGTAGTAATGTATGGATCGTTGATCAATGCAACCTAATAAAATATATAATTCCTGTTTGTTCTGTATAGAAGGTCTGTACAGTTTAAATAATAAACGTTACTTCGATATTCTTTTCTATGCAAGCACGAAGACACATTCTTCCTATTCTACCAAATCCATTAATTCCTACAATCGCCATATTTTTACTATAAAATTATAAACTAAATACTATCGATACTTATTCGAGATATTCGTAAATAAACATCAGAGCTTGTATTTCATTCGCTTTTCATAGTTGCTACAAACATCTCGGAGTCAACAGCGTGAACTTGCGTGCGAAATTGTCTCTCTATGAAGTAAGAACAATCCTCTGTCGTGAATTTTTGTACTTATAGTAAATGTTCTAGTAATTAATATTATACAAGATTATTATGTGACTACTTTTAAACATCAATTATACATAAAAAATTTCTTTTCATGTGGAAAGAACTGAATTATAAGATCGATTTCCAAAAAAGAAGTATTTAAAAATTAAATAACTAAAGGGATTTCAATTCTTTCTGTTTCGTTCCCTATTTAACATAAAACTTGTTATGAATAAACTGAAGATGAATATTAAGGATCGCAGTTGTTTAATATATACATATATATGCGTGGAATCGTTGGTGATCAAATAATCAAACCGCATTTTATCGATGGAAATCTTACTGACGAACAATATGTACACTTTATACGAAATAGATTGGAGACTTTATTAGAAAATGTACCAATAAACGTTCGCCAAATGATGTGGTTACAGCACGACGGGTGTCCAGCACATTATGCTCGGAGAGTAAGAGATGCACTGAACGAACTTTACCCAAATAAATGGACAGGACCTGGAAGATTAGTTTCTTGGCCACCTCGTTCATTAGATTTGTTTCTCTGGGGAGCATTGCAAAATGCTGTTTATCAAGAAGTACCCACTACATCAGAAAATATGAAACAACGCATAATTGCAGCATGTGCTAGAATAAGTTCAGAAACGATAAGACATGCACGTGATGCAGTGATACGAAGATTGCAACTTTGCATCGACGCAAACGGTCACCACTTCAAGCATCTCCTGTAATGTAAGAAAGTTTATTTTAATACCACATTTGACCTTGCATGACCTTCAATGATAGCTCGCTGAAGTCGTCTCAACACCGGCTATCACATCGCGATAAAAAAAAAACAGCATTCCATTAAACAAAATAGAGATGACCTTGAAATCTCCTCTATGCCTTCACCCACGCAGAAAGTGTTTGTGTCACAATATGCCGCCCTCTATACCGTGTAAGTTAATATAACATTTTTTCATATTATTACAAATAACGGCAATATTCAAAGTGGACATAGTTATTGCCTCATTCTGTATATGTATATGTATATGTATATGTATAGTATATGCAAATGTATTTCAAGCAATTAAGTTCACTTATTTCTGGAGGTAGTATTGTTGAAATAATATTAAAATAAAATTTATTACGTAATACAAAGTATTATTAGCACAAATTTATGCTTCGAGAAATGTTAAGAACAACTATAAATAGTTTTTCTCTCTTAAAACTCAATGTCAGTATTAATGGTAGGTAAAATTTTATTCAGATAACGTGTAAGGATTAAGAATATTAAATGTTTTAAAATTTAGAATTTTGTCTTTGGATATTGTAATCAGTACGACAACAATCTACGTATGTACATGTTATGTGGATAGGAGATTGTACAGATATAAAGATCTAAAATGTTATAGGAAACTGCGGTTAATAAAATTTTATTTTATTATAAAACACTTTCTATTGTAAAATGTTTTCAAATTTCTTTATTTTTGTCTATATTGTTTTCTAATCCTTAATTAACTTAAACCAGACCCTGTATATTGTATATGAATAGTATAACATATACACATATAAATTTTATTTTGAAACTCGAGTATCTAAAAACAAAGCATAAACAAATTTCTCAAAAGAATTAGTCTCCTTTCTACTTTCGGGATGAATCTCGAAACATATCATATGTTTAATGAAAACTTCATAAATTTTTAGTGTCGGGCAATTTTATATTTTAAATTAAAGCATTAAGTGCAAACGAAAATATAGGTTGTCCATTCACAGAATATTACTAATTCAGTACAAATGATTTCCATATTTTCTGAATATTTTGAATCTTACAATGTCTCGCACTGAATGAGAGTCGTAAATACCGTGTATTTTTTGCGTCCACGTAGGTCATTATACACAATCATTGTGGAGTATGGCTTTGCTTGATATTGAGAATCAAACATCAACACTGCCAGAGGATAGTATTAGACTTACGACATTACTCGAACGCCAGTCTCGTATTTGCGGTAAAGGAAGCCAGTTCAAGATGACAGAAGAAATGTCTGGCTAAGTGTTCATTGAAAATTTTTTCTTTTCTTTGAGGAGGTTCGACGGTGAGTAATTTAGTGGCTTCGTCAAGTAATAATTACATGTGTTGAACAAATAGAGGGAATTTTTTTATAACAAAAATATATATTTACAGCACTAAACACGATGTGTATAGATTATTAATGCTTTAAAAAGAATGTTGAAATTATCAAGACATCTTAACACGTTTTAAACCATTATTAATAATTAACAATTGAAGATTAAAAGAATTAGATACATTTAGAAAGCATGGAAGGTCGACCTCACGAGGCTAAAGTAAAGATGAAAATGCAAGTACCCATATATTCTCGTTATATTCTGTTCTAAATAAATATTAAATATTTCTTTGTTAATAGTATTGTTTTACAGTAAATTCAAGATTACTCATTATGAATTATTGTGTATTTCAGAATGATTGATTTAAAAGAATCAGCCCGATATTGGAGAATTTTAACTTAATAATAATATTGTTCATCGACAGTATTGGTCAGGAAGGACGTACATTGAAAAATTATTTGAAAGTAAGCAGTATTTCGATCGCACGGAAGCTTTGAGGTAAAAGTATATTATTATGCACTAGAAATGTGATCAGTGTTTAACATAATGAGACGAAGGAAAAAAGATTGTATGTGCATTAACCAAGCGAATGTTGATTTGATTTGTATCGGGAGTATAAATTAATGTTACTTTGAGAAATATTCGTAACTTTAACACAAATCAGTTATGAATAATACTTTCTCTTAAATAAAAGGGAATTACTAATATATGCGACTTTAAGGTACAAAATAACGTCATTAGAAATCTATACATATATCGTTTCATACGATCATAAACCGTGAAAAATGAGCATTGATTTTTCTTTAAATACTTTTAATGTGCGTATTTAAGAATATCATTTCGTGCAACATGAACGATATTTATATATTTCACTGATCAGATATTTGTCAGGACGTCGCATTTATATTAATGTTTCGCGACTTTAAGGGAAAAAAGAAACTTTCAATTTCTTATCACGTATTTCTCAAAGTAATCTGAACAACAATAATTATCAGGACTTTGATTTCGACATTGATATATAGTAGAATGAAATTTATGATTATGATTAATAGATATTAATACTTACATTCTGCTACATACATTTTTCGATGATGTGAGGTTGTAAATGTAACGAAGACGGTCTCCGGAAAAAATGGTTTAATGTGTATCTTGGAAGATTTCGGAAATTTCTAATTAAATTCGCGTGATGACGTCTGACTGCTTCAGATACGGGTTTAAATCTGCAGCTATTGTTAGGGATTCGATTTAGAAAAGTATTATCTGTCTATTTTAATTACTAATTAACATATGCGATGTGTTTGGCGTAGGCGGCTTAATTACCTGTTTACTAGAAGATCTGGTAATATTTCGATAAATATTAACATAGATATAATAATGTCTTACTGTTACAATAGAAGTCATCGATCATCGGAGATCCTTTTCACTACGGTGATAGATGCTTTTTAAGGAACTATCGATAGAAAGATGACTTCACGTATTATCGTGAACTACACGTTTGTACTCGCACAAAATACACGTTTGAACATTTCCTTATTCACGACTGATAAAACTCATTCATACATATTTATTAGTGCTTCTATTATTATTACCATTTCTCGGTCTGTGAGTTAAGATTAATAGTTTTTCTGATATTTTCTTTTATACAATTGTTTACATACTTGAAGCAGAGTGGTGGATTTACTTCACTGTTCATTCAAGGAAGTATTCAAGGATAAGAAATATATAAAGCGAAAGCTAAAATGCAAAACAGTAACAATTTATTCGTTCCCTTTTTTAAATTGATTTCAATGATGTGAGATGTATACTTATTAGTAAATTGTAAACGAATTTTCAAACAATCGCGAAAGATCTTCTTCAGACTGTTCTCTTGGCGCTAATTTTGTTATGCGATGCTGTGAACAAATTATAAAAAATAAATTACTGAACATTGTATTGATAATAAGTTTTGAAATGATGTGTAATTGTAAGATTAACGAAGTCGAATATGAATTTGTAATCGCGGAAATCTAAATGATGAAATATATTTGTAAAAATATGTATCGTTAATACCACAATTATGAATTCGTCATACATGAAAGAGTAGTGTGTTAATAGTATGGCGAATTTATTTAATTGTACTGTGCTATGTATGGTGATCAATAAATCATCATTACAATCTAAATTTTCGTTTTTTTTTTCATATGTATTTGAACAAACTGATTAAACTCATAATATGAAATCATTGTCGTTAGTTGAAATTTTGTATTACCAAATTTCGTATTACATACCAATAATAAGTAAATGTTACTATATATTGTTAATGTTTGAATATATTCAACTTCTCTACAGTGTTAGGACTTTAAATTTACATTTAAAAAAACACATACGTAATACTGACAAATGATGATCTTCAATAATATTACATACACACACAGAGTTAGATAAAATTATTTTCACGTACAGAAATTCAATTTATTGTAATTAAATTCAATTTAATGTTCACCTAGTTCTTTCTATAATACATAGAATGCCTCATACATATGTTCACATGCCTACTATCGAAATAACGATTATGTATAAAGACTTTATGTAATGCGATTTCTAAATATTTATCCTTATTACATTTACTCTTACCATCTTTCAATAATAAATTCTTCTTAATTTGAAAATAAAATTTATGATTTACTACGTACTGTAGTGAGAGAAATACAACGTCGTTCCGTGAACAAATCTATAAGTCACTGTAAGTGTTAATTCGACTATTAAGATACTAGGGTACATACTTATTGAATAATCATGTCGACTAACTCTATGACATAACATTCATCGAATAATACTGAAAAAGTGTGAAATGGGATAATGTTGATGGAGTTACCAAGAGAATAATAAATCTTACCTGTGGCAGTGTCCCCTGAACCAAAGTAGGAATATCTTCTTTTTTAAATCCTAATTCCGCCAGACCGTTTTCGACTTTCATTACTCGCATGTACTCTTTCACGGTGTCGGCTAATATTTTTCCGGCGTCCTCTTTCTTTGCTCGTTTCACATCGGCGCCGAGTAGTTCTGCGGCTTCCAGATGCCTTTCCGGGCATGCACTTCCGGTAAAGGAGAACACAGCGGGTGCTGATATTACGACCGAAAGACCGTGCGGCACTATGGGATGATCGTCGCTGTAGCCCTGTAATTGTTTTGATACTATATCATCAGAAGTGTAAAATGTGAACGGTAGTCTACCGTGTGGTTAATAGTTTTTAGTATTTCATTGCATTTGTAGACATTGTAGCTACTACATAGGCTTTAATAATCAGGGCACCCCGTAAGTTCCTAAAGTGAGCGTTACCACCCACCGGAGGGCGCCATCTGGATATAAAGAGGCGTTCTAGTTATTTTATTTTCTTTATTTTCAATCTAATTTTTTAAGATTCAAAGATTACATGTACAACTACACTTGGAAATTTTGATAACAGAGATAGTTCCTCCGAAGGAGGTGTTAAACAAAAAAACTTTGAGAAGGGGACGGTGAGCCAAAAATGGTTGGGAAACAATGGTTCATCCCAAAAGTTGATGCCGAGTTTTATACCGGGGTTTGAATCCATGTTTCCAAGATAGCTTCAAGTTTTATGAAAACACGAATTAAGTTTGTGCCGTGATGTGTTTATACTACATTTCACAAAGTTTTTCATTTTCAGGGCTATTCTATAGAAGCAAATCGGTTTTTTGATGATGACAATGCTAGACCTCATGTGGCAAAAAATGTTTAAAATACGCATGTGAATTTAACATTAAAAGAAAGCAACGCTTTTTAGTTGGTAAAAAAAATCAATAATCGTTAACGAACAAAAAGATAGTATTGTAAAATATTTGAATGAAAACCCAAAAAGCGGGAAGCAATTGTAAAATGAAATGGCGATAACGTTTTTCCATAAAACTGAAAGTTGTGTTTGAGATAGTGATCTAACAATAAGTTTGGATATAGATTTCGGCACGAACTTATGGAATGATCTAATTGTATACATTGTATGTATTACTAATCATTTGAGCGTATTGTTAATGTATACCATATTATAATAGATTATTATACATTGCCGTTAAAATAGGTACATATGTTAATATACATTTATAAGACTATTTCAGAAAATATTTCAAAATCTTACAAACTATTTATTTTCATTTTTTGTGCTTCTGAAAGTGAAACTTCAGATTATGAAATCGTAGGAGACTCTTTTTATTTCTTTTAGAACTACATCGTTCAGAAAATTATTGTTAAGTGCTTCAAAACCAGTTCAATAAAAGGAACCGTATACAATTTCAATTAATCAAACAATTCATTGTTTTTCTGAAGCAGTGAAAACATTTGAGGAAATTACCTTTGGTTGGAAACTTCGTACATTTCCGCTAATGGGATAAGAGAGCCCGTGACACAGGTGCACGCCGGCATTACCAAACCCGACACCCGCCATAGTACTCGCAAGATGCATGTTACTTCTTGCTTCGAGATCGTCTTTGTTGTAAACGGCTCTTTTAAAGTATCTATCAGCAAATATGAACATGATAATAACGAAATGTCTATTAACAACAGAATATGAATCTACACATTGTTTCGAAATAGCGTTAACCCTCAGACACTACACTAGTACGAATTTGCATCAGCGAAACATTGTTTCGTCTGTTCGTTTTAAAATATAAATATAAAATATATTTCTCACTTTTGCAATTATTATCACTGAATTTTCGAGGAAATTTTACCGTAAAAAATATGTTCTGAGCTCAATTTGCTTTTATTCTTTTCAAGTTCTTAATCATCAAAAATTCGAAGTTCTAATTTGCACTAGTGTGGTGTTTACGTATGCTGAGGTTTTTGAGGGTTAAATTTGCACATTATCTAATTTATATAAGAAACCACTGTTTCACAAAGACGAAAGGAATATTTCTATTTCCATTCTACATATGAACCGTTTATTTTGAAAGTGGTGTAAGTCCATTTTTAAACAAATTGAGAAATCACATAATTTACTTATAATTTAATGTGCACATTTTATTTATAAACAATTCACAGTTAGTATTTTAAAATATCCATATGCTTTGATCAATTTAAAATTCGTCAATAAATGAAATTGCGGACCGATTGATTATGAAAGTGGTGTAAGTCCATTGTCCTTAGAATAACTAATTAATTTAATTAAATTAATTAATCAAAATAACTAATAAGTTTAATTTGTACGAAATGAAACGTGTTGAAATTTCATTTCAACAAAATATCTAGAAAATGCAGTTCAAAAAAGGAAAAGGAACACTGAAGGAGAAAAGGTAAACTGGCTGAAAATATGTTGGATGAGGTTTTGTAAAAGTGCACAATGTACTACTATTTTATATAAAACATCGATGGAAGACATGGAATTTATGACTTTAGATTTATCACCAACCGATCGAGGGAGACCGCCAAAATTTGGAAAAATTACACTAACGCCTTTGTATAAAGATGTTAGACCCATTAGATACGAAAAATATAAGGATATGATGCAGTTATTGCCTTATATGTATACATACCTCCTGTGCGTCATGAATATTTCAAAAAACTTCCACATAATGAGCCTAAATGAAAAACAGTATCTAAAGTTAAGCTCGCAATAATGATAAACTTATCATTAAATAGTTTACCAATAATTAAATATTTTTAATGTTGAGTATAAAAAACAATATTTTTATTTTTTGTTATTATTTTTTTCTAAACAAAATCAGATTAAAACACATTGTATTTCAAGTAAAATTCAATATTTGATTATTGAAATTAAATGATTTTTACAATTCAATAATTATGAAAGTGATGTAAGTCCATTTACAACCCAGAAAGAATATATTATTTTAGTTAAATTCAAATAAAAGTTATTTATGTAATCAAATTACATATTTCTAAATTCGTTGAAACATTGTTAAACTTAGTACAATTTATTTATATTTTTTAATCGACTAAAATGCTAACCTTTTAATATCTCTTTCAAAATAAACGGTTCATATGTACTTTATTAAATAAATTTTAGAAGTTGTGTCAGAGATTTGAGATTTATGATACTGTTTGTTGGTTTTACTCTTGTATCTTTTCTGTTACATCGAAATTACACTTACTTCCGCATAGTTTGGAGAGCATATTTTGACCATACATCGCTGATGGGATTGCTACCCTGGTAAGCAGGCCGAAGAATAGGATTTGAAGGACATGGTGTCCTTTCCGTGTACGGTATAGCAGTGAAAGACTCGAGGGCGTGGCAGAGCACATCAAAACCGGAATAAGCGCAGACCCTCTCTGGCATGGTCAACATGTGTTCCGGATCAATTAAGCCTAAGGTTGGTCTTAAAGCCCTGCATTCATAGTTAAATACACTTTTTGTTACTCATTTCCTACATATGAATTAAAAAACCGTTCCACTCCATTATTGGGACAGCATAGAAAATGTTATGAATATCATATTAAATATAAATGTTCGTTGCTTTCAATTGAGCCATTCACAGGCTAAAATGACTAATTCCAATTTTTGAATTTCCGTAAATTTTAGTGCAAAATACATGCCTTAACTCATATACATATGCTGCAAACACTTAACTTTTTATATTTTAAATAAATTTCCGTGATAATTTAGTGGAGACCACTTTGGCAAATGAACTGCTCAATTATAGAATAGAGAGATTCAGTAGTTTCTAAATAATTGTTGCTTATTAAGAATAAAAATGTTAGAATTAAGTAATATTATGTACGGTAATTATATTAATTGTATATTTATTTTAAAGTTACAAATAAGGATTTACCTATTAGCGATACCAGTTTTTGCTTTAAGTGGCCTATAATCAAAGATGGAAACACCTGTAGTTTCTGAACCAGTGCCGGAAGTAGTTGGTACCGCGATCAGTGGCTTTAAGGGCACCTGAACTGGTTTGCCTTTGCCAATTGGCGCGTTCACATAATCTAAGAAATCCGCTTCTGGATCGGAACTGTACAAATTAGCTGCCTTACAGGTGTCCATCACCGAACCACCGCCGACCTATAGAAAAATTAATTTCATATTTTATTTTTGTACTTCCAATTATCTCACAACTCATTTCGCGAATAAAGGTATTGAAACGCAATAGTAACGCAATCGTTTCTTATAAATTTTCGGTTAGTATACATTTCGAAATTTGAATCAGGTAATCCTACTCCTGAATGATTAGAAAAAGGGTTTTAAATTCTAGGGAAGGTAAGGATTTTCGTAATGTAGTACTATTATAGTAAATAATTATATGTGAATATTTAATCGATGTTGGATATTGTTTGGAATTATTTTTTGTGGAAATATATATTTAATATAAAAAAGTCATTTATTATTTAAGTACAACTTTAAGTAGTAAATAACTGTCATTTCAAATATCAAAGTATATTATCATTATAATTAAAAGTATTAAAATTACTTGGTACATGTCATTATCATTATTTATTCTCTGTGGATTGTTAAATTAAACATTGTTCTCATGCATAACGCAACTAAATTTTTGCACATAAATTCGAGTTGAACATTTTACTCCAAAAGAATAAAATTAATACATTGAATAAAGGACTAATATATCATGGAAATATATGACACGTGTAAATAATAAATAAAATCAATTAGCAGCTTACACACAATACTTGTTATATGTATGTAAATGAAGATACAGTTTTCTTTCCTCTAAATAACTAGAAAAAATATATTATTCCTATAGTTACTTATTAAGTAAACTATATTAAATCAGCAGGCTTAATTTTTTATTTACAATTAAAATGTAACTTCTATCTATTATTTACTTAGTCTGCGTAAATTACAGTTGTACCGTTTTGGATATTCTAAATTAGCTATCATTTTTCATAATATATGCATTGATTCACGCATACGTTCATACATTTCCAAATTATAATTAAGTGTAAAAATATTTATGCAATTCCTATTTATGTATCCACGCGACCTTTATTTTTATTACCCTTTTATGATAGATTTTCCTTAATTTTCGAAGAAAATTCACAGTTTATTATGTAATTTGACCAAGTAAGTGTGACAGGCCTTCATGAACGAATTTGTGTCACTGTATATTTAAAAAAATGTTCTATTAGACTTCTATCATTGTATTATATTATCTTTGGTAACTTACCGCTATAAAAACATCAAAGTTTCCACGCTTCGCGCACTCGATGGCATCTTGAAGACTCTTTTCTGTCGGCTCCACGCGTACTTTATCGAAAACCTCGAACTGGATGCTAGCTTTAGCAAGACTGTCCATGACAGTTTTAACAGGTTGTAGATTCACTAGATTCGGATCCGTCATCAAGCACACCTTCTTCGCGGCCATATTTTGCATGTCCATGCCTAATTCTTTGGTGACGCCGACGCCATATCGCACTGTGGAACAGGCCATCTGCAATTACCTCCATTATTTATTATAACGCAATCGATAAGTATCACGATTAAATTTTCTTACCAGTAAATAGGTAGTTACTTTCGTTTCAGAATCACATTGAAAAGTTTTCATCCTTAGAAAAGATACATCTTAGGGTAAAAATAATATCTGATCTTAACACAACTGATTTTGGAAATAGCAATACATAATTGTTCAAGAATAAAAAATAACATTTATGTATATCTATTTTGCATATTCTATTAAATAGTGTAAACTTTGAAGGTGTTTTTAAGGTGTCAGTAATATATTATACATATATATTGCATTTTCCTGCTAAAACTCTTTGCTGGAATTATTATTAACATTTACTGAAACGAAAACAAACATATTCTCTAACCGCGCTATAACTGTCAAGACGAAAGAGTGAAAATAATATTTCAAGAAACACAATGCGAGTTTAACAGTCAACACTACTAATATTAAGTTAGAATTTTATTAAATAAAATATAATTAACTACTTGAATTGGTAACTAAGTGTTAATGTATTCAATAAAAAAAAAAAGTAAAAATACAAAACATTATTACATAGTAGAGCGTTACATAAGTTAGATTATTATCAAATGATTTTTACGAGTGTAAACAGGTCGATTTTAAAAACATGTTATCGGAATACATAAGATGATTGCGTTTATCGTTTGCAATTGTACAGCCCATGAAGTAAATGAGTAACGATCGTACAACAAAAAATCGTCATTATTCTTTATTCGTGAACTGTTGTAAAAATTTCGTTACTGCATACCTCAAAGGCATATTCTTTTTGCGGTATAGCATTTGCAACTGTGCTACGAGCTTTCGCTAATTCATGCCTGGTCGTGCCTTCTAGATTTCCATGAGCTGGACACCTGCATCTATAAGCAGTAAAAATTTTAAATAAAAAATTTATAGATTTACGAATATAAAATTATAGATTTCTTCAGCAGTAATTATTCAACTGTGTTATCAATCTTAAAGATTAGTTTTGTATTTAAAATAAAAATTTACAACATCAAGAGACTATATTAACGATAGCAATAATTTGTCAATTAATAAGAATTTAATAAAAGACATTAGCACATATAATGTCTTAATTCAATAATTTTATCATTTGCGGATTATATATTGTGTGTTGTACCATTTTTATACAAGAAAAAAGTAGAAGGTATTAAGAAATATTGTATTACGTATTTTTAATTTTGTAAATCATATTAAAAATATTTACATTTTAAGTATATTTATATTTGTATATCATACAATCGATTCAATGTATCTTCTATACAAAATCGAATTTCCCCTATAAGATTAAAGTATTATGTAGCAATCAAAACATATCAACTTACGAAACGTAATCGTTGCTTTTTATTATCTCGCAAATTTTTGATTGTTGATGTTAATAGTCAAAAATATAGGTATTAAATATCTTTTTATACTTTTATTAAATACACTTTTATTATTGAACATTGCTGAACATTATTTATTATACTCATTACGCCCTGTTTCTTCGTTTTAAGGAGTTTTTTCTTATGATAAGAAAGAGAAATAATGACCATGGTTCCGAGTTAATTGGTATTTATTTAGTTGAATTTAATAAATAGTATTTATTATTTTCAATGTTTTATGTAATAAATTATGTTACATACATACATATACATATAAGTAAGTGTATTACATATTGAAGAATATGAAAATTATACTAATGACAATAAATAAAAAACATTGTATGTTTATTTCTGTGCCTTACCAAGTTTACAATAATACTAAAAATTCAAGGCCGATCAACCGGCCTTTTTTGCTGACTAGTCGCCGACTACAAAAGTGACTGGATAGTTGGTTTAATCGATTAGGCGGCTACTAATCGGTACATCTCTAATCAATATACAATAAGTACACAATTAAAGTTTCAGATTTGTTCTAAACTTTCACCGTAAATTTAATAACAGCTGTTTAAAGTTGGTGTTACAGTACTGTTTACTACCAGACGTTATTCTTATCGGTATCGTAGAACATTCTGTCTCCTTAATTATAATATCGCGATGACATAGCATCACGAACGTGTATGTCTCCACACAAATCTTCTTTAAACGTCACAAATCGATGAATCTGTTATCGGTTATTTACTTACGACTGCGAAGAAATGACTTGTAACAGTTTCACGACGCGCCTTCTGGGATACATTTTCTGGCACGATCAAATATAACTATAAAACAGATCGATTATTTAAAAAAAACAGATCAGTGTTCGAGACGCTTGTGAGTTCTTGTGCTCCGTTCTCCGTCGACTGGTCGTATGCCCTCCCCAACCATTCTTGTTATCCACACATGTGATGAGATAGTTCCACACGTACAACGGAACCAGTGCCGTATCAATTTTCGTAATCACATTCACATGCATTTTTTCAAGCAAAGAGAAGTTTATGAACGATTTCTTTTTCGTTTAATTTCGATCTTTATACGACTAATCGTTCAACCAATATTGATACTTCGAAGATAAAATCAGATAAAGATAAAAACCAGGACGTAGTACATAAATTGGACGCTTACCGAAAATGTTGAAGTGCTATAAGTGCACCACATTTTTTCATCTTCTAAAATTGAATGATTTACTTTAAATCATCTTAAAGCATCGAATTATTAATATATACATATGGTTTATAGGAAATTTGAACAAATTGTTATTGTTGCAAAATTCATCCTGTAGTTTATCAATATTATGAAAAAACTTTTTTAAAATCACGAATTTATTATTAGAATAATTTGTTTTTTCTCAAAATCTAGTACGATATAGAAATCTATAAATAGATTCTCGTTATTGATAATATAATAAAAAGAAGCATTATATTCGCAAAATTTCATTTTCTTTTACAGTACATATACTTCATGAAGTAAAATATGTTTTTAACTTAACATATTATAGTTTACTTCAGTTGAAACATATAGAATTATCAGTACATATTATTTTTAAATTTAATTTATTTGTTACAATGATAATATTTTATTTTTAATTTTTGCTATTATGCTTTAATAAGTTTCAATAGGTTTATAAAAGCATATCTTATACAGTCATTAATTTTGACTCTTATATTAGTGTTATACCACATTGACTACAAGGGTTCCAGATTTTAAATATTTTTAAAGCTTTTAAACGATGGACGATGTTTTATATCTTTTTTATTATTTCAAGTATTGTATTGTGTTCACAAAACGTTTGGAAGTGTCATTAAACTGTTAATAGCACCAATAACAGCCTACTTACGTATATACATATGTGCGTCATCAATCGCTCTTCCATATTTTAATCGCGCAGATAATTCTCTTCGAAATTTTACGTCTGATTTAGGTCTGCAAACGTTTCTATTTGGTATACAAATATTAATTATTGATCGAAACGTGTAAATACAGTAGACAAACAAAATACAATGGGTCGACATGTTGATTAAATAGACTACAAAATAAAAATTTTTGCAATAATAAAACTGTTTCTTTACATTGGTAATCTTAGAAGTTCAGCATTAAGAAAAGGTAACAGTCGTAAGTAAATAATAAATTTATTGTTTCCTCATAATCAGAAAAAATAGGTATGTAATTATTTTTGTTTAAAATGCACCTTTAAATGTTAGTTGACACTTTTTGTGTCCGCGTATAGAATACGAAGTTTAGGCAGCACGAGAATGAATTAAATGAACGCTCAATTATTTACTATAATCAAAATTTTATTAAAACGTTATACATTATTTACAGCATGTAGCATAATGCATAGTACACAATAATGTACTACTTATACTACGAGATGTTAGTTTTCTTAGTACTATATGCGGTGTTTAGTCGTAAATACTTCGACTTCTGTGGCTTGAATGAGACATTTTGTTCACTGGAATTAGAAGTCACAAGTCTTATAATATTACTTCTATACCTACAGTACTACGACCCCGGTCGTCTGCCCGCAGTTCGGTATAAGAATTATTATACAGGGTGTCCCACGCAACTGGAACAGGCTGTACCTTCTATACGGTTGGGAATAGATGAAGATGTTATAAGTAAAAGTTAAATGGTATCACTTTTGTGCATCGGTGCATTAGAAAACTTGCAATTGCACTTTTTTTTAAATGGAAATCTATGTTTTTCACTGCACCAATCGATGCAGTTTCTTTGTGCTCTATATACAAGTACTAACATACTTATGACCTAAACTTATTCGTTAGGAAGTTATCCAAGCTAAAAGTTTTCTGAATTATTTCGGTCGCTCGGCAACTGTTCCGAAGTACCTACGTTATGTTCCATTACAATGTTTGTAAACATGAAACTTCGATAACTTCCTAACGAATAAGTTTAGGGCATAAGTATGTTAGTACTTTTATGTAGAGCACAAGAAATTGCATCGATTGGTGCAGTGAAAAACATAGGTTTCCATTTTAAAAAAAAGTGCAGTTGCAATTTTTCTGATGCACCGATGCACAAAAGTGCATAAAATTAATTGCATATTATGCACCGTCTGATACCATTTAACTTTTACTTATAACATCTTCTTCTATTCCCAACCGTTTAGAAGGTACAGCCTGTTCCAGTTGCGTGGGACACCCTTATATCTACTTTGGACCCTGCTTCCACGTCATTTCATTATTTTTGAAGTAAAAGTTTCACTTACCGCCTAAAACTGCATTCCCTCAGCGATTATTGGAAAAATAACAGACACATAATTATGAATTAATAGTTAAACATACACCTACAATTAAATTATTATGACTCCACTCTCATCTTCGATAAAAATTGACCATCCTGATAAAAGAGACAGAATACTGACTGATCATGCAGAAAACATTTTACATAAAATTTATTGATTTATCTTCGAAACATAATGGTGGGCATACAATAATGCTAAGCTAACCATACAATGTGTTCCTTTCCCAATCATCAAGTTTTAAAAAATTACTTTACTCACCATTACATTCATTACGTATGTTTAAGAGTAAATTCTATTGGTATAAAATCTTATAAGTTTCCTCTATAGACAATGACAATGTTAGATACTTTTCTTGTCACCCTTTTTAGAACAACGCATTGATGAGAGTTGTGTACTCTCTCCGTGTATGACATGTATATTCGATACTGCAACGCTCAAAAGATTGAAGTCGTTATCTTCAAAGAAAACTGCTTTTCCAATCATTTTGAAACTCACAATCTCTAAGAATGTACTTTTCATTTTAAAGACTGCAAGCCTCACACATATTTCCAGTTTAGATAATACACGACCTCAATCGTTTGAACAGTAACATAACCTAGCCAATTCGATTTATACAAAGAAATCTTTGTTTCTCTACTTTTCGATTTCTGCACGACCTGATTAACTCGAACCCCGTCGATCAACCGATACATTGTGCACGCGTGTTGCCCTTTAAACACTTTCTGGAACGATTTTGTCGTAGTGGAATGTGCTGCTGGAATAAAAGCTTCCCCGTTTCGGCATGTGCGGTGTCGCGATTTCCTCTTGGAGAGGCTTGTAAACCAGACCACAATTCTTGTTGTCGATCAATCCTTGACGGAGGATCAACGGTGGCCTGATAACAGGTCCGCGACCCCGCCGTCTTGCCAAGTAAATTGCAACGTGCACCGTTAAGAGAAGAATCATCGCCGTGATGACGATAACAGTGACCACGGGCCAGAGCGCGCTGCTGTACCAAGGATGATACTCCATGTTCTCCGCGGCTACAAAATCTTCGTATTCTTGATCTTGTGTGGTCCACGCTTTCTCAACTTCTTCGTTGGATCTTACGCCATGATCGAGTTGCAGTTGAAGCAGCTCCTAGTGGGAAAACAATGTTCGTTACTTTTGCCTCGCAAAATGGTATAAGGTTTGTACACATTTAATTGTATGTTAAAAAATGTCATGTAAGGAGGTGTTCTAATTTTCCACAAAGTAAGTTGGTATTTGGTTTTCAATTATTCTTTTAACAGATTCTGATAGAAGAAAGTGTTACGTGTAAAATTGTATAATTCTGAAGAAGATATAAAGGTCAAAATGCATTTACTTGTATTTTGAAAAAGTAGGATTCCCCCGTTTGCTTTTAGTGTTGTAGTGTAATATCTACATGGACAATTATGAAGTAGTGTGTAAAAGTATAAATAAAAAATATCTGGGACAAGTTTTTCTGATTTTGTTTTTAGATCCGTTTTTTAAAAGAGTTTCTTTTACACAAAACATAATATAGAATACTTTGTGAAAGAAAAGAGACAATTGATTTTTCTCGTAAGTCGAAAGAATGTAAAAATAATTGTAATTTGTTATGGCAAATTAGTCTTTCTTGCGGTAAATCACGGTCACTGAAAATGAAGAATGATCTTTGGCATCTCACCTCGTCGCCTTCGAGATCGTTTCGCAAAAGGGTATCAGAGTCGTCTGATGTATCAAATCCCCCAAGAATAATTTTCAATTTCTTCTTGTGCGGGAATTGTCTGTCTGGTGGTCCGTCGTTCACACCATCGCAGACTATTTTCGCTAGATCAGTCCATTGACTGATACCCTCAGGATCTTGATAATTATCGCCGCCACCATAATTACTAATGTATCTGCAAAATATATTCCACAAATTTATGTAATTCATAAACTCTTTTCATTATGTGTTCAGATACGCGTGAAAAAAGAACTTCGTTTAGAAATACTTGGAAATTATAGTCGAACTACATTTAAGACGTACAGTATATTTATGGTTAACAATTGTTGGAAAAAAAAGGTTATTTATCAATTAGTATTTATTTGACTGTATTAAATTCTCCCTTATAATTCAAAATAATTTAGCTGTAAAATTTGTTTTGCGCAGTGAATTTATTCATATAGCAGAATACTTAAAGTTCAATCTTCCTAGGTAATTGAAGATTAAATTTATTTTCATTTAAAATTTATTTAAAATTTATTTATTAAATTGCACATACTGTGCAGATTTATGACCAAATTTTTGCTCTTATAGCTTCAGTTTTTTTAGTAGGAAAAACATTTATCGTTTAATAAAATTCAATAAAAAGTTGTAGTGGTTTTTATGTTTTCGTTTTCGAAATTGTTACGTACTTCGATGGTTCCATCGGCGAAACCCCATGATCGGTAAGCCATTGCACAGCCTCATTGAATTCGTCATCACAATCAAGAGGATTACGCGACAAATCCAGGCCAACGATTTTAGGCGTTGCTTTCAATTCCTCAACAGTGATTCGTCGAAGCAGATTTTCGCGAACTGATAAGAATCTAAAAATAAAATCTGATATGGAATTGTTGTTACTTACGTTGATACCAATTCGTATCATTCAAAAAATGGTATTATCTCTGTTCTGTTAATCTATTTACAGTATAAATAAAAAAACGCTATTAACACGGATCCTTTTAAGACTAGACAAATAAGAATATGTTTAAGCGTCCAAGGAAAGTACATAGCATTGTCCCTTTTTTTAGTGATAAAATTACTCACTCGACATTTGGCCTTCAAATTTAAAAGCTATTGTCACTAATTTAATGACATTTGTTCTCGAAGGGTCAATAGACAGGATGCAAACGCAATTTTTGAATAATTATTAAAATAAATGGAAATCATATTTACAATGGAATATTTTCATACGAGGCTTCCTTTAAATTTGGTACAGTTTTCGGGTCTTTTTTTACTCAATCGTATTCTGATTTCGTAAAGACTGATCTGATCCATCAATATTTTTCAATATAATCGCGTTCCCAATCTACAAGAAATCGCTTTTATATTCGAAAAGAGTATAAGGAGGTTGTTACTAATAGTCCCGTTTCTCTGTCCCAATCATTAGTTCAAATGTATTTCTGGACCAAATGCTTTAAGAGGTTCAAGTAAACCGACTTTTATTATCAATTAGCGTATCTATTCTATAAAAATAAATACTGAAAGTGAAAACTGATACAAGCAAATAATGTGACATAGTGACAATAATAATATACTAGACAAATATATAATTCTCACATAAAAAATGCAATTGGAAGCTCATAACCAAAACGACCATTGTCAATTTGTCAAATGAAGCTTTGCCTATGAGAAAATGCATTGACAACAGTTGGCTTTAAAGAATCTTTTCAGAATTAATCAGGATATAGGACGTTTTCAATAGAATAGATTACACCAAGTTATAAGTCTCGCTCCTGATTACTAGAATCTATTGTTATCACTAAAATCAAAACATTTGACAAGGGTCGTTTTTGTCACGATCCTCTCAATTGTGCATTTTTGATTCGTTTGCGTACGAAGAATTATCATACTTGTGTTTGTACTATGATGTGTACCAGAATTCCTACGTTTAGCATCCTAATTATGTAAAGTGTTTCAGTCATGTACTGATGATACTGTTCTTACTTCAAACTAGTCAATGGAACTCTGGCCTCGCTCCAAACTCTTTCCAAAGCGCATCCGCTAGCGTCGATCTTGGTAAGGCCAGGAGCAGCCAGGAACGGCGTTACTTGCAACGTAACCAGAGGGTTACCAGCAAGTTTGATCTTCATCAAATTCTTCGCGCCGTTGAACATGTGGTTCTCCAAGGAACTGATCGTGTTGTCAGACAGATCGAGAATACGCAAAGCAGACAGACTGCTCAGCAATCCATCCGGTAAGCCACGTAACTTATTTCTGGAAAGGTTCAGCTGCGTTATCGCTGGCATGGCTTTGAAAGTGTCTTTGTGGAGGGTGTGCAGGCCACAGTGCGCGCATTCGAAACGGTAGACACTGTAAGAAATACATAGACGACGTTATTATAGTTTGATCATGATTATACTGTAAGATGAAAATACGAGATCGGGTCGTTCAATTGAGAGGTCCAATGCAAGAGGCTGCTATGTCACAAAATGTAGAAAAAAACAGTTTTTTTTATTAATTCTGGTACCTCATTGTGTCTAGTTGTTATCCCTTAATTTATAACTACATAGCAAAATTCCTGCCTGCGATATGATTGTATATGTATACATATACATAGTATATTACGATGTACATTACTTTCCATAAAAGCCTTAATATCTCACAACGCTACTGTTATGACACAGCTCCCTCTTGGACGAGACACCTCAACTGAATAAAACATTCTTCAAAAATTTGTAATTTTATATACAGCTTTTTATGAAAGAATCTTTTTACGTGTTTCTTTAGAAATTACCCAGATGATCAATTGAAATATCAAATTCATGTTTAGACCTTTTAAATTCGTGTAGATTCCAACAAATATGAATGAATAGAAAAATATATTTTAAGTATTGTATACAACAAACTTGACTGATAAATGATTACTGAAAATCCAGCAGATGTAATTAAAAACATGTTGTTGATTGTGCTGTTACATACGACTAGACTGTGGATTTAATGCATTTATCGTAAATGTGAATATGCAAAATACAATACAGTAAAAATATTTGGAAAGGTGAATATAAATTTTACTTTACTTTGGATTTAATGAAATCTTGAATAAAAGAGAAAAATCTCAAACATAATTTCAATTCCGTAAATTAATCATAAATACTGAATTTGCATAAAAATCCGCAGGCTACGTACAACTAAAAAAAGAAATTTTCGAACTAATTTAGAAATCTTTGAAACAGAATAGTGTTTACCTGAAAGTGTTGTACTCGAGACTAGTGGTTTTGAAGACGGGCAACGTTTCCAAACCAGGATTATCGTTCATCAACAAAATTTGCAATCGCCAATTCTTCATGAAATGATGTTCCGTCAAAGAAGTCAGCTTATTGTCGCTGATGTCAATGAGAGTAAGCAGTGGGAGGTAGGAGAAAGCGCTCGGGTTAATCCTCTTGATACCGTTCGAATTGAGCGTCAGTTTATCCAGCAGAGTCATACCAATTAGATCATCTTTTCCTATTGTTTTGATTCTATTGTGAGACACATCTAATATTCTCAGTTGTGACGCACGTATGGTGTTCAACGTTGTCAAATTGTTTCCTGAAAATTGAATACGTGTCTTTCAAATAACATTTCGATATTTGATTCTGTATAAGTTTATAAGTATTCGATACTTGATTTTTTGATACAATGGAAAGCATAGAAAGAATGTAATTTGCACTCTAACACTTCTCTATGGTTGTTTAATTTCCCCGAAAAATAAAAAAAATGTCATATTCTTTGCAATGTTATTACTACGGTGGTATTGTACCAAAGTAAATAGTTCGGAAAATGAGTCACTCTTGGGTATTCGTTGTCAATAAACTATCATCTCGAGATTTCCTGACAAGTAGCCGACAAAAAAGACCAGCTTTTCTGATTCTTTTGTTATACTCACATATATATTTTTACTATTTCTTAAGTTCAATTTAAAAATTTAACACACAGGGTTTTATACAGCTTTTAATTCTCTATCCGAATATTAAACACATGCGAAAGTTTTAAGTTGACGTTAAAAAATAATCAAAATAAAACAAATCGAAAAAGTTGTAACTTTTTTGTTGTCCGTTACTATATACGATTTTACGAAAATAAAATTAAAAGTATGATATTTAGAAGAAAAATATTAATTCCTCCGCTCCTTTAAAAACATTTCTTAAGATAAAAAAGTATATCTTTTCGTAATAAGTGTTATTAATTATTTAAAAATATTTTCTGAATAATAACTTTTTATGAAGAACAAGTTTCTAGTTTTCAGTTAATATTTCTTTGTCAATTTTATAAGACATGCAATAATGTTCTACAATTACATTCTACATATTCCATAGTTTCAGGAAATATATTGCTCAAAATAATTAGAGGATTGCTACTGTAGGCGATGCTAATGCGCCAACTAAGGGGAAAAACTTAAATAAATATTACTATTTCATAGATTGACATCTCTTCGTTCGATACCAACACCTAGTTTTGCTTCGATAAAAAACATTACAAGAATTATTGACGGACACAGCAGCTGCAGTGTATGATCCCCTAATCGAGGGGTTCAGTGCAAGACGGAGCTATGCCACAAAATGTTGAAAAATAAGATTTTTATTAATTCGGACACCTCTTTGGTGTCTAGTTATTATCCTTTAATTTGTAACTACGTGCCAACATCCTTGTCTGTACTATGCATGTACAATGATGTTCATTATTTTTTATAAAAGCCTTAATAACTCACAATGCTACTGTCGTGACATAGCTCCCTCTAAATCTACTTAAATAATAGAATCTTACCAGCAATGCGAAGCGTCTGCAGTCCTTTATCATAAAACAGATCAAGAGGGATTTCGCTGATCAAGTTGTTCGAAAGATCCAACTCAATTAGCGACGCCATCGAATTGAACGTCGCGCTGTCGATTTCCTTCAATTTGTTGTTTTTCAGATTAACAAAAATTAGGTCCGGCATCTTCGCGAACGCATTTCGCTTGAGTTTCGTCAGACCATTGTAAGAGTAGTCGAATTCGGTAACAGACGGAGAATCGAAGAGGCCGTGTTTGGATGATTTCGAATCCTGCGAATGTTTCAACGGGTTTCCAGAAATAGACAACAGTGACAGTTGTGTGTTATTCTGGAAAATATTCGGCGGAATCTCCTGCAGACCGTTACGCGTCAGGTTTACCGCGAATAAATACGCCACGCCGTCGAACGCGGTCTGATTCAACTCGACGATTCTCGTGTCGGTGATCACGAACGATTCCAGATGCTGAAGACCTCGTGAACGAAGCGCGTGAGGACCAAGGCGGATCTGTTCGGCGTTCTCGACGCGCAGATGCGCGATTCCAGTGCCGAACGATTGTTCATCCACGAGTTTGGTGCATCTAAACAGAAAACGTAGAAATTGTAGAAACTTTCTTGTGATACAGGTAACTCTTATACATAACTGGGTGGATAGGTTCCTAAAAATTGCTGTGTTATGTAAATTCGTGTTATACGAAACTAAGAACTAATACGAACATACATACAAAAAACAAGGTCAGATTTCAAAAACTAATAAAACTACACTATACAAACTACACAATTCTTTGACCTGTTAGTGCGAAACCGTGTTGTAGGAACGACACGTTATATGGGCGTTGCTTGTACAATCAAAAATGTACAGCTGGTATCAAAACAGGTGGACAACTTTAGGGATGAAATGTATTTAATTTTTATCGATTTAATCCTTTCACTGCCACTTTTTAAAAATTGACTTACACCGCTGTTAGCACATTATACATATAGACTTAGTGCCATTTGAAACGGTTTTCACTATGAGAAGAGAAAAATGAAACGGAATTACTTTGGTTGAAAATCATGACACATACGTTGCAGTCGTTGCAGCTGCGTATTGCCCGGCGCATGTACAATAATCGGGACACTCCGTCATCACTTGCTCGTCGTCATCGAGTTCGTCTTCTTCGTCCTCGTCGTCCCCGTCGTACTCTTCCGCGCTGTCGTCCTCTTCGTCTTTGCTCAAACCATCTTCGTAAGGCGCATCCTCAGCGTCTAATAATTTCTTGATGTCCCTATCTTCCGTAGTGTTGCTTTGTTCGTCGTTGTTTCCCGCGGTGGTCGGTTTCGTTGTCGAAATCGAGTAGGATGGCCTAATTCTTCGGGCCTCCGCTTTCAGTGTTTTAGCAACTTCTTCTTGTGTCTGTAATTATTGTGATAAAAAATCATATCGAGCTGATTTAAAACTGCGGAACAGTAGTTTTACGATCTGCTATTTCATGTAACGAAAAGTTTCGTGATGAAATACGACGAAGACAATTTATTAGATCAATGTGTACCGATACTAAATTATTGTTGAATTTTAATCCTATTGTTCTTCTCACTTACTTTTCAAATTTATATCCCTTCGGATAAAATTACTTCAAATGTGGAAATAATTTCTTTTTAACGAATGGAAAGAACACAAGTAGTAGACGGAAAATTTGCATACGTTTAATATATTAAAAATAAATATGTAAAACATGATACCCATTTAGACAGAATCTTTATTAAGGGTAATATAGACTTGAGGAGAACAGTAGGGTTAAATAGATACGAAGTCAAAAAGAACGTACTAACAGTAAGTACAACATTTCTCTAATTTTGCAAGGTTACATACTTATAAAAACTGTTTCTATGAAAAGCTATTATTAAATAGAGTACTCATTAAACTTGATATACGCAAGTAGCCTAAAGGATAATGTTTACACAATACAAATTTTTTAAATATCCGAGCTAAAATTTTTTGTAAGGTAATATTTATGTATTTGTTAAAATTATTAGATAATTTTTACATTCTGGTTAAAACGTATAGATCATTTAGATTTTAATGAGATAAAATTTGAATAAATAAAACATATATGTACTCACAAGAATAAAAAGTCTTAGAAATATATTGTTCCTTCATTTGTTATTCAAAATATAAACGAAAGATATTGCAGACCTACTGATATTTTGAGAGTTCAGTAAGCCAATTTCTAATACATTTTAAATACATTAAGAAACATATAAAAAAATCTGCATTCGCATATAGCATTGTAATTTTCAGCATTTATTATTAATTTCTTTGGTCTATTTATTTTTCAGCACAAATTATTCTGTTTAACCCCCTCACTGAACTGAATATCTAAACTTATCACTAAAAAATATATAAAAAAAACTATATAAAATAGATGAAATGAAATCTTTCAAGGCAGATACCTTTTGAAAGCTTAAAACTGACCGCTTATTTAATAAATGCTAACGTAGATTCTTAATATTGTAAATACTACATATTTTTGTGAATATTTGCATTATAGGTATTTACTGAAACCATGTGTGGGGAACAAAAAAACTGAACACAATTACGGAATGTGAATGAAATTAATTGTAATAAAAATGATCACCTTGGCATTGGTAACTTCTTCATCCAAATTACGAATTTCTTGCAGAAGCATTTCCTTAGGGTTCAGGAAATTTTTCACATCACCCAAGAGCAGATTATCGTCATCGTAGTTCGGCGTTGTTTTCTCACTAGTACGAGGAGCCGTTACTTTTTTTACAATAGCAGTACGCGTAGTAAGATCCAACGTTTCTGGCGAAGCGCTAATGCTGATCAAATTATGCTGCAATTTCGTCGTGAACGGTTCATCTGTAGTGTCTGTATTGATGTCTCTCGATGGAGTTTTATTTGAAGCAACGATTCCGACCAAGAGGGCAGCGGCCAGCAGCACAGCTGCTAGGACCTTCATTTTGCCTTCTGAAAACCAGAAAAACGTTTTTCATATACTAATCAGTGAATAGAATTTTGAACATATAATTTTGATTCTCGAATAATACAGCTGAAAGTATATTCTCAAAACAGATTAAATTGAATTTTCTTCTTTGTGTACATATTTGTATATTATGTAGTATGAGATATTCTGAAAAAAATAAGCATCATTTTAAAATAGATTAAAGAAAAAATTTTTTTTAATGTATTTGTATATTAGTACCTATGAGATATTCTAAACAAGATAAGGATTATCTTAACGTAGATGACAGAAAATATCCAGAAGTGTTTCATTATGTCGTGCTTAACTGTATAAGTACTAACAACCTTCGTATTACATAACTGAAATGCATAAAGGACTGCAGTGTCTACGTAGAACTATACACATTATAAAACGTAAGCTTCCGGTTGCACACATATTCATACTTAAAATTTAATTTGGTGTGACACATCTTACATGTACATATACAATACCGGACAAAATTATAACAACTTGAACGTAACAATTCTTTGAAGATCAAAATTTCCGGGTACTTTAACTTTTGTTGCAATAGTTTTCAAATACTTTTTATACGGTCCTCCAAGGAAGAAAATCACATATAATATCATCACAGAATTATTACATAAATGCATATAAAAATGCGGTTTTTGATTACTTTCATATCCTCAGAGGTATTATACCTATATCAGATCAGTATTATCAGTATGCTTCACTTCGTATATTTTAATTTCAACAAATTATATCATAAATAAAAATTGTTTCTTGACATTTTACACGACTTATCACTTAATCGTAGATTAAATGTTTTAACTGTAGAAATATAAATAATTTTTAAGGGAAGCATTTAATCTCTATACACGTTCGCAACAATTAATGATTTCTTTTTATTTAATTTTCCGTATATAGTTCTTTTTATTATCACATAATTTAGGTATATGCGCATAAAGTTTCTCAGCAAAGCCAGTACTCAATATAAGTTCCTAGATTCATCGTATGCGGTTACAGAGTTAGCTTCAAGCATATCCTCAACCGGTTTTAGAAGCGGAAGTGCAGCATCTTTACAAGAAAGGGAAGCACCTTCGTGTAATCAATCCAGGGGGAAGCCTCCATCCTCTCGATCTTTCCAACTCGATGCTCCGATTCTCGATCATTCACGGTTTTGTGCGCAAATCTTATACACCTTTGTGCGGAAGCAGTTTTCCTCAGAGAAAAACGGCCCTATATTCTATGGACGATCGACACCTCGTAGAAAGATCCCTATACAGTTCAACCTCTCAGAAACAGAACAGATTAACTAGTCTTTCTACAAACCTTTCAATTGTATTATTTTTAAACAATTTTACTCTTCTTCACTCAAGCTTTTTATTTTAGTTCAAAAGAAATTGCATATGTCGTTCCTACGATGGATATACAAAATGTTTTATAAACTGTGAATATAATTCAGAGGGAAAGTTATTTTAAATTTTTTCAATCTTACAGATACTGAGTTCGTATTTGTAGAACCGACACCAGATCAGTTAATAATGTAGAAATGTCTTCTTATCATCGTTGTACGATTTATCTTCTTGTTAGTAGTAGGAGTATGATTTGCAGTACACACTACGTTATTAATCCTTGGGAATGCATTTTTATAATGTCGATCAACTACAGGTACTTATTAATCAAACATACATTGTTATTTTTAATAAAGAATATCAAATGGTGTCATTCGAACGTGTTTGTACCCTGATCCAAGAATAACTAAAAATTCGTATCTTTTGTAAAAATTGTTATCTATCACGTTCCATATTATCTTGTTAAATAGCTCTACCTAAGTACTCTGCCGATTATATCAAATTCGATTTTCGGTTCTTCAAAATGAAGAATCGAGAAAGACCGAGACATTCATTGTTATACTTACGTGGTATTTTTTTATTCTTTATACGTATTTAATTCCTTATATTTCTTCTCATTGTCACAGGAACAATAATAAAAAACAAAAAATTAGAATCGCTAGTGAGATTATGTAAGTATTGCAGTATACAAGTGATACGCTATACACAATGTGAAATTGATAAAAACTTATTAAATAAAGCTTTCATGAAATTAATTACTTTAATTGTCGTGATAATTAGGTTTTACGAATCGTTTCCAGATAAGAATTAATCAGAACAATGGCAATGTAACTCTGGAAGCGAAAACCTGTCACACAGTGCGTTAATGATGCAGCTATCATTATCGCGATACGTGCTGACGTACGTCTCTGTCGCGTGTTATTCGTCCTGATAATATATCGATAAGTCGAGTGCTTTTGTTATAAAAGAACAGACTACCGAAAGAAAGGCACTTTTTAAAACGTAGCAATTGTAATCATTCTAAATTTTAAACTTCCACTATAAGAAATAAATAATTTAACGATGTTGCTCATATTTTAATAAAAATATACCATAATTCTAAAATATTTTACAAATTTTGGACTAACAGTTCTTACAAAGAATTAAAAAGAATATGAATAGATACATGAATAGAATAAGGTGACACAAAGAATAGACTGTAGATACATAAGATTAAAACGTTATAAATTTCTGAAATTTATACAGTAAAAACTGAAATTTCAAAGTTTAAACAGTTGAAAATAGTGATCATAATCAGTATATTTTGCACTATTTCTATTGGGCTGAATTAAGAGTTCGTACGGTTTTTTACTGTTAAATGAAAATGATTGATTACTGAAATTATATATCACTGTGTTCTCTGATGTTTTCTCTTCAGTAAAAAAAAAAAAACAGAAAACATTGGGATTATCAAACTACTGTGTCATTGATTCGAAAAAGGAAGAACAGAAAGTATATCTCCGGCATCTAATGCATTATTACTTTCGAAAGGGCAAAGATATCACTCGCGTTCAAAAAAAGATTTGTGCGGTATATGGAAACAACAGTGCGAGTTGTCATATGTGTCAAGAATGGTTTGAAAAATTTTAAATAGGAGATATCGCCGTAGAAGATGCACTGCGATTAGGTAGACCTTCCCCTGTTTTGAAAGTGATCAAATTTAGTCTCAAGTAATCAACACAGTACCATAAGTTTGGGTAATTTTGACCTACTCGGAGTAACTTTGTCCCAAATCAGAAAATGATCATTTTCGATTTTGCAGCTCTGCAAACTGTTAAATTAAGTTGATTTTTACGTGAAAAAGTATTTTACGTAAAAATACCTGCAAAATTGTTTTTCTTCAAGTTTTTTTTCTTTTGCAGTTTGATAGGTGTTTTAATATCATTCAGGTTTCCCATTAAAAGTTTTTTCCTATATCTTACGGTTAACAAAATATACTGAAAAAACGAAAAATTCGGTAAACTTCTTAAAGTTTATTACCCCTTAAGGTAACTTCACCATCTTACAATTAGAGTGAATGTCAGCCGAAAAAATTGCTCCTTGCATAAATTTGATGCCCCCAACAAACCCACAAAGTTTCATTTAGATCAGAATCTGCGGGTTGTGAAACCTTCCCTGTAAGGTTACGGACTCCTACTCCTCGGAGAAATTTCGGTAATGTCCGGTGGGTTATCTTTCTGCGTCGCGTTTCTTGTACACACTAGGGAGGGGGTATACGCGATCTACTCTACTTCGTTTTCACCACTCTAAATTCACAACCCTGCTTTTAATTAGACTAAATTCACTTGGCGATGGATTCATTTATGGTCCATCGCGGCTCCCAGGGGAGGTGATCGACGAACCCGACCACGTCTCTTCTTGAGGTCGGCTAGACCGGCCTCCCCATGTATCGCTATTGGAGTCCCGGGACTCCATCCTTGACCTTGATTGGGGGGGTGGTAATTTGATAATGGGTAAACAGAGGAAGGGGGGTTCCTGAAATATTCGGGACATAGGTAGGTAACGATAAGGGGTTGAAATAGGCGATACAACTCTCTCTCAATGATGACGGTACATACGATGATTACCACCCTTGTACAGATTCGGTCTGTGGGTGAAGCAGAATGAGCTGGTACTCAATTATGGAGACGAAGGATCGGTTGCCCCGACGTTCACACTCCTTTAGCTAATATATTAGATAGGGATGGGACGATCCTAGTGACTCTCCACCCCCTGCATGAGTATTTCTCCACCTCCATGTGGCCCGGGCCTAAAAAAGTTGGACGGGTTGGAAAGTCGAGGGAAATATCATCCCCGGGTAACACGCCCACGGTAGTTCCAATTGCGGGACTATCTCCTCTTCCGGGAGACTACGATCTAGTTAGTTAGTTGTACAGTTCTCCCGGGAGAGGGGAAGTGCGATTTCCCCCCCAAGGCCGCAGCAGTGGCTCTGTCGCCGTTAGCTATCACACAGCCCCCGCCACAATAGCCGGGGCCGCGGTGGGCGTTACCCGGGGCTATTATTTCCCCCAGTTTTCCAACCCGACCAACTTTTTTGGGCCCGGGCCACATGGAGGCGAGGAAGTACTCGCTGGGGGGCGGAGAGTCACTAGGATCGTCCCATCCCTACCTTAATCAGTGACTATGGAGTATATCGTCGGGGCCACCGATCCTTCGTCTCCAAAGTGAGTACCGGCTCACTCTTTGCTTCACCCACAGACCGAGTCTGTACCAGGGGTGGAATCATCGTGCTTGTGTACGTTCCATCATTGAGAGAGAGCTGTGTCGCCTGTTTCAACCCCCTATCGTATTACCTGCCTATGTCCCGAATATTTCAGGATCCCCCCCCTTCGACCTCAAAGAGAGACGTGGTCGGGTTCGGCGATCACCTCCCCTGGGAGCCGCAGTGGACCATAAATGAATCCACCGCCAGTGTGAAGCTAGTCTAATATCATAGCTGGGTGTATGAGATTACTGGAGTGGAAAACGAAGTAGAGTAGATCGCGCCCTCCCCCCACCCTAGAGTTTAGACTACGATCTAAACTAAACTAAACTAGGTATCGGTTAGCTCGCTCAAGCGCTCGTGACATACGCACGACCGAATCAAACGCCTCTAAATCAATGGGAGCGGTTAT